ACAAACAGCCAAATTCTGGAAAAACTGCACCACATCTCACATTCATTCATATTTTTGACAGTCTTTTGAAAGCCAGTGTGTAAAGGCCTTAACCCTTCATCCTGATCCCTAAACTGCAATTCCACAGTTTTAAACCCATTACCTTCATCTTAAATCTCTCCCTGTTAACCTTTTTAATGCTAAGTGAGGTGGAGGGCTTTTCTTCAGCTGAATAGACTGTGAATCGAACCATGCAAATCATCAAATAACCATTTTGATCTCAGCATTTTAACTTACTTATATTAATAGCACAGCAATAATAAAAGGACAGAAAAAGATGGGAAACGGAAATTAATAACTCACCAAGAACGAGAAACGGTGTAGTGTAAACGTTTTAATAGAGGTGACTGGTAGAGAATTCTGTCTAATCGTAGTGATCACTTTGGGAAAGAGGGTTATTTTCATTTTAATATGGGTTTATTGCAGAACAAAGCTGTAACAGTACTTCTTTAATCCACTCCGTGAGCAGTATACATACTCGAGACTGGTTGAGGGCTTTTCTGTTGTTTTAAGAATGAACTTATTTTGAGGTATTGCTCTTGCTAAAAATACAGACATGCAGCATCATAACCATTGGGACACATTCTGGGATTAAAGTGTTGTATCATTTTCTCTACTGATGCCAGTCGTCCCATGTTTGGGGGTTTAACTGTTTAAAATTGCTGAGCAAATGAATATTTATCATGTAAACATGAACATGTTTTTTCCAGTGTTGTTTCTGTTGAAATGTCAGATTGGAAGGTAGAGCCGTCATAATCAAGCCTCGTGCCAGTGGGCCGCACTGACAACACGGATTCGCAGTCCACCTGAAACCTAATGACCAACTGCTGTATCTGCAGCACACAGTCAGTTACCATTGACTATAATTTCAACACCTTTCCCTGTAAAAAAACAGCTGACCCACTGACTCGGAACATATTTTTAGCCAGTGGCCAGTTGCTGAATTCTGTCTGTTAAACATTTCTACAAAAATGTGTGTTTTGAATAATACTTACACGAACACTTCGGTCAGACTGTTACGAAGCCGTAAAGCTGTTTAATCCGTTCTTTCTGGAACAGGACTAGTTTTCCACTAAGACTTTGTAGTGGTAGATCGTTACCAGTGTAAAGTGCAGACGGAGTTTTCACAGGTTTCACCTGATCGCTGTGGATGCAGGAAAGCGAGTTACTTTTACTGTGTTTGAAAGTTTTGGTAAGACTCAACTAGGCCTGTCGCAATTATGACATAATTGCTTGATTGCATTTATTTATTGCATCACACTTATTTTCTACAGTTGTCATCGTCGTTTACGTTGTAACTAACAGATTGTGAATTAGGTTCATTTTCAGGTGGGTTGAGGAAAATGCATGTAATTAAAAGAAAGCAGAGGAAGCATTTACACGAGTCTTACCAAAATAAAACATGCCTTTAGAGGGCGGCGTTGAGTGATGTTTGTTTATTTGATGTTTGTTAATAACACCTTTAGAGGGCGGCAGTGAGTGACATTTGTTTATGTAATGTTTGTTAATGTCACCATTAGAGGGCAGCAGTGAGTAACGTTTGTTTATTTGATGTTTGTTTAGAGGGTAGGGAGTAACATTTGTTTATTTGATGTTTGTTAATAACACCATTAGAGGGCAGCAGTGAGTAACGTTTGTTTATTTGATGTTTGTTTAGAGGGTAGGGAGTAACATTTGTTTATTTGATGTTTGTTAATGTCACCTTTAGAGGGCGGTGGTGAGTAACATTTGTTTATTTGATGTTTGTTAATGTCACCTTTAGAGGGCGGCGGTGAGTAACATTTGTTTATTTGATGTTTGTTTAGAGGGCAGTGTGTAATGTTTGTTTTATGTTTGTTAATGTCACCTTTAGAGGGCGGCGGTGAGTAATGTTTGTTTATTTGATGTTTGTTTAGAGGGCAGTGAGTGACGTTTGTTTATTTGATGTTTGTTATTGTCACCTTTAGAGGGCGACGGTGAGTAATGTTTGTTTATTTGAGCTCGATCTGTTTCTGTTGTCATTTGGAAGCTACTATATTTGGCCAGTTAGGCTGCTGAACAAAACCAACATTACTCAGTTTAGCCATCACTGATATGAATCACACACAGTGCTAACATACTCCACTAGCTAATGTTAGCAAACAGAAGCGTACCCCCCCCCATCGCATGCACCTGCATCACACAGCCGTATAGGCGCTACAGATTACACCCGTGATTTTCGTTGTTTCTAAATGTAAATAATGGTCAATCTTTAATTTTCCTTCACAGCAAACAGGACCTAAAGCCAAACGCAGAGTTTCACAGTGATAGTTTCGTGAAATGTAACAAACTTTAAACACAGTTTTAATTCTCAAGTCTGGGGCAAAACATACTATAACCCAGTTGACCTCTGACGACGTGACATTGCTGTATTACTGTTTCTCATCATTATTGGACACTTTCTTGCCACTTTCTGTTGCTTTCCACCCCCTTTGCACGAGCAGCTCTGTGATCACGTTGCACAGAAATGTATCTGTTTTAATATTTGCAATGAATAAGAAAGACAAACTGTTTCTGTGGAAGTAAATCATAGCTAAACTTTCACGATCATTAGAGTTTAATTGCTGTAGTTTAGAATTGAAGTTATACAGTCACATATTTTAAATGTTTATTCACAGATTTCAGCAACTGCCCATTGACTTCTATACATGGGTCAACAGATTTGCTCGTCTTTTCTAAGTTCGGGAAAACGTGTTGAAATGATTGTCCGTAATAACTGACAGTGCGATACAGATCCGGCAGATAGCGATTATGCTGAAAAATGCTGGAGTGCTCCTTTAACGTGCAGTGTGGTAACCTTTCAAGACCAGCATTGAGTGAGGAATGAATGCCAGGTGCAGTATCAGATGCTCCGCCCCTCCTCACTGAAACTGCGCCACGGTTGGCCAGTTGACTTGTCAGTCAGTACAGAATTTATCCCACCTCCCACCAGCACTGGTGAATGTCTGAGGATGAGCGCTTATTCATTTAGATCTACCAGAACAGATTACTAAGTTAGGCTGAACTGAATTGGATTATGAACTGGGCTCAGCTGGATTTGATCTGGACAGTCAGTCAGTCAGTTTGATCTTCCTGGACTGTGATCTGTTTCCTGTCCAGGTCAGTGAATAAGCATAAGTATTCTCTTACATCATGTTCTTCGTACAGTCTGTGATTTGACTCCTGGAGGACTGAAGGAGGAGGTAAACAAAGAAACAGTAAAGTGTAAATATGTATATCAGTAAGTGAAAAAGGTGATCAAGGCATTTCAGCGATTTTGAACCCAACCACAGGCCATAATTGCATAGTCGCACTTTAATGTCAGCCTCATGATTATAATCTACGACATTTCAAAAGCATGTTCAGTATGAATGAGTGAAAAAGGCTCTTCAGCCTTCCGGATTGTTTACCAGCGTTACTAAAGGTTTTTCCTTCCAAAACTTCAACCAATTTTACAGCATAATTAAATGGTTAAGATGTAAACTGAGTGGAGTGGTTTGGTGTAAAATACTGTGTTAGAGAAACGGTAACACTTCACTGTAGGGTACAGTTCATAAGGCTACGTGACACCTACATAAGCTTGTCATGACATCTGACATAACCCTACATAAATGTTCATTAATGCATATTCCAATAGGCATCATCTGTTATAAAGGCTACTTTGATCAAAATTGGCAAATGTAACATTTATAGCAATCACTGCCTATTGGAATAAGCATTAATAAACATTTATGTAAAGTTATGTCAGTTATCATGACAGGCTTATGAAGTTAGGAATTGTACCCGACAGTAATATTACCAAGAAACTTAGAGTCAGTATTGTTCACAGTGGTGGTGATAGGAACCAGACGTCCACCTCTAAAAGCTCCCTCACAGGAAGTTACTACATGAAACGGTTATGAATGCAAGGAAAACTTTATTTTCAGATTTATCACTATTTTACTGTTATCAACACTGCATATAAACTATTTTGGATAGTGAATAAAATTGCTATATTTGCGACCCCCGGTTCCTATCGCCACCATTGTGGGGAGAAAAAAAAAAAAGAGTTGGAAAGTTTCTCCACAGTGAACCATTTCACATCAAACTACTCTGACTTTACATCCCAATCACTGAATTTTGCAGAAATTCTTGAAAATCAGTGGAATTCCCCTTTAACCAGCGTATTAATCTATTAATGTGTATTCGTACAGTCTACACGTGGTTGTGTATGAGTGAGTGGGTGTAGAGGACAATGCAGCCGCTTGATCACACCCTAAAATACTGTAATATACAGTGAAAGAATGTGCTTCATTAATGGTTATGTTGCAGTGTCGAATGTGCTCGTCGAATGACCTTTTAACCTTTTTGATACACTGTAGTCCTGAACTAAAACTTGTATTTTTATAAACCTGATTTCAGGCATGCTCAGCTACGTCTTCAGCGATGCCTTCTGTTCATACTTCTTTACTGTAAAAAGAAAAAAAAAGATATGTAAATAGTCAATGGGACATAATTTTCTTCACTAATATTTGGTGTCTGTTGTGAATGGTTGGGTCTGTCTCTGTTGGAGCTTTGCTACCTGTGTTGGTGCCTGTTGTCTATTTTTGTAGTTGTTTTAATAAAGTAACCATTTCAGACCAGAAGAACTGAGGAATTGGTTTATTTATTTTATTTATTCATTTTTAAATAATGCACATTTCTACAATCATATTATTTGCCTAAATATCGTCCCACATCTGTGTGAACATGGCAAGCGTTCAGTCCGATATGCAAAAACAACAGAAAAATTAAAAATATAAATAAGAGACATGAAAAAGGTTTTACTGATCCAAACGCTACTGTGTGAGCGACTGGTGGAACTGCAGAGAAGTTTCTCTACAGCTGAGGTACAAAATGGCAGAGCTGGAAATGTCAGTCGAAATCAGCATGCAGCACTGGATAAACTGGGTTTCAGGCACTTGGTGATAAGCGAAGGCATAAACTAGGCATGCATGAGGTATTATTATCATTAGCACAGATGCACGATGTGGTCAAAAGTAAAATATCATATAAATACAGGGAGATTCACTCAAAAGAGGCCCCAAATAATCTGTTGTATCTCCCGTTAGGATGAAGCAATCTGAACCAAAAAAAACGCCACAACCCTTGACGTCTGTGTAATCGACTGCATTACATGCGATGCTGTAAGTGATCTCCGTTCTCTGCCAGACGTGGCGCTCCATGCAATTCTGCCCTTTTTGCAGCTCTCTGACATGTTGAGTAAGACCTCCCAGTCTCCTGTACGAGACGCTGCTGCACGTCATCTATTGTGTTCTCCGACATTTTCGGACGGCCTCCGCCATGAGAAGGGATCAGTGATCCCGTCGTTTCCAGTTTTCCGGACCATCTTCTGAATACCACTCTTTGAGGGTTCGTCACGAACACCATATTCCTTCCTAAATTCACTCTGACATCGCTTAAACAACTGGTGACGCTATAGGTTCACACCATGAAGACGCACTGCTCAATACTGTACACCACCATCCTGATGAGAAGATTGCACGTTGTTTCGTTCAGATTGCTTCATCTTAGCGAGAGTTATTACAAAATATTCAGGGCCTCTTTCGAGTGAATCTCCCTGTATAACTTCTAGTGGTGGAAAAAAATTGCTACAGTATAAATATTGCGATATTTTGGGTTTAAAATTAGTATCGGAACATGCAGGCCTAGAATTTTTGAATATTTTTTGAACATATCCTAAGACCATCATTAGACTCATTAGATTACCAAAATGCATTTCCTCATTATCCCACAAGATGGCACCATTTCTACCTGGTGAGCAGGCGGCTTCGTTAGGAATGGAATCTGGAACAGCACTGTAATGGCCCAATAACATTACATTCACCTGCTACTGTAAATCGGTCACAGAGTTTTGAATGTCATCTAGTTCATAAAGAAAAACATCTGCCACAGTATTTAAATGCAAGAATGAAGTTTTCACATGTTGATTTGTCAAAGAAGAGCTGAGCAAAGTATTTCGCTGCTGTCGGAACAAAACCTCGTATCTCCATTTTTGCCATTTTTCAGTTTGTGGCATAATCTGAAAATGCCTGTTGTCCTTTATATTGTGTGTAAATTTCATGATGAATGGGCCAAAAGAAACGGCCCAAAATGACTAAGAAAAAATTCTGGTTCCATTGACTTACATTAAAAGTAAAGTAGGTTTTTTGCTTCTCCTGTAAAGTTACCATTTTGGAGGTACGAGGTTTTGTTCCGACAGCAGCGATAAACTTCATTAGACAGTAATTTGGAGTCAACATTGATCCAAATCCGTGATCTCATTATTGCTGATACCCTAAAAGAGTCTAATACTAAGACACCAACTAACAAAATGATGTACGGTGAAGCTCTAATGAGCAGGTAGCCAATTACAGCAGCACACAGTGTAACAGATGAACAAACGCACAGCGCTCACACCTCTTTCCCTTCACACCTACTAAAAACAACCTACTTCAGTACAACCCCCTCAAGCTGAGTCTCACGAGTGGCACCACATCAGTGACTGACCTAGATTTAACAAACTTTGTGGTCAACACGAAACCGCACCCTTTCTCTGCACTCGTTTCCCTCCTCCACTTCACATACTTCCTTCCACCTCCGCTATCACTACCAAACAAGTGGTTCACTTTTGGACATCACATTCAATTGTTCTGCTTTGATTCCACCAGTTTGTTACTGGCCACTGAGGTTTATAGACATTTTGTTGCTGCCATATCAAACTTTAGTTTTTTTTAATACACTACCTAAAACCACCAGCTGCCCTTTAGAATAAGTGTAAGTAAATGTTTCATAACAAATGAGCCAATGGAAACCAGCAGAGCGGCTTATTATTCAGAGCTACAGTGCCATCAGAGTTATTCTTGAGTTATAGGTAAGAGCAAAAGAAGCTGGACGGGTCCTGGACGGGTCCAGACTTCCATCAAAAAGGTAACATTATTCCCTTTTTCTGTAAAGCTAAATTTAGATATAAGACAGAAGGTTTTGTTACAACAGCGGTATATACACACATACAGTACTGTGCAAAAGTCTGAGGCACCAAAGCACAATATTTCAAACCATTTATCTCTGCAGAAAGTGTGCAGAAAGTGCAAATGCAAATAAACAAATACAGTAATTTTTTTTTTTTTGTAAGTTGTTCATACCTTGTGAGCTAGTTTGAGCTAGCACAGCTCGTTTACTTTAACAAAGCATTAATTATTCAAAAACTAGGATGATGATTACAATACTGGGCTGCTATGAGATGTTTGGAAATGGTTAAACGAACACTGACATGCCAAATCGCTACCAACTGTATTAATGTTATTTGTGTTTACTGTAATATTAGTGTTTTTCTGAGCAAATAAATACTTATTGCCCACATAAGCAGCTTTAACTATAATTTTCTCAGGAGCCTGAAACCTGCACAGTGACTCAAATGACCCAAAATGACTTGGAAAAAACTCTGGTTCCATTGACTTACATTAAAAGTAAAGTGTGTTTTTTGCTTCTCCCATAAAGCTACCATTTTGGAGATACGAGGTTTTCTTAGACATCTCAGACATCTAAGAAAATGACGAGTAAAGCTATTTATCTGGGCCCTTGCTCAAAAAACCCAAATAAACAGATGTTTCTCCTGGAGTTAGTCCAGTGTTTACAGTCACCATCCAGCAGCTAGTTTATCTAATCAAACAATCAATTAAATCAGGCGCTGCTGATGAAACTGAACAAATCTATACGGCGGCTGAAGTGCAGCATGAAGTCAGCAACCAAACGTTCTAATGACTTTCAAAAACAACAGAATCTACAATTTACTGTATTTATGTTTATTTGTATTTATTCTAATGTTATATAGAACATTTTTTGTGGCAGCCTAAAACCTTTGCACAGTATTGATGTACAGTCGTATGCCAGTTTACCAAACTTGGGTTTGGTCAGCGCTGGTCAAATGACATTTAGTTGATTTTCTAAGTGAAAACAAGTGAACACGTCCTCTACAGAGAAGACATGTCTGCACATTTAAATACACAATCACTGTTTATTTGCTAAGTTTAAAATATTGGGGAGAAAAAAAACATGGCCTAGGCAAAAGTTTTATATATTTCACATTTTATTTTTCCCAATATGTCAAACTTAGCAAATAAACAGAAACTGTGCACTTCGCTTTGCAGAAAAATGACATATTTAGGTGTGTTCTCTGCCGAGAGTCACTTAGAAAATGAATGAAACGTGTTCAAACTTTTGCACATGACCGTAAGGTACGACCCACGGTCTCTCTGGTGCATTCTAAGTGAGAACAGCTCACGAGGCGAGAGAGGACAGTATAAATACAGCAAAGGCAATCAATCACATTTCTTACTGGATTTTCATTCACATCAGGCTACACAAATTTGAATGCCTGTTTAACCAGTTTGCTCCCCTCACTTCTTCTCATAACCAGTGTAAGTATAGGAAACTCACAGCTGGGCTTTGACCACTGCTCCTATTGAAGACTCCAAACAGATGATACGGCCCACATACGGTGGACGTGATGAAAAGTGAGTGTGTTCAGGTGACGTTCCACTTTGGAACTTCCTCAGTTATATACTGATAAGTTTCTGCCTCAGACGGCTTTGTTACAGAACATCAGCTGCATCTGTTTCGTCCGTTAGTCTTCCGCTAGACAAACAAGTTAAACAAGTATTTACGTTTGTATGGCCAAAGGTAGAATTGTACACAAACAGTAGCTTTGGTGGCACAGTTAGTAAGGCTCGAGTCTAAAATGCACTTCATATATAACATAACTATCAGTAACTGAACGCTTTCACAAGTACAATATACGAACAAAAACAATTCAAATCTCACGCACAGACAACAGACATGCGTAACACAGAACCCCTAACCCAGCTAACAGACATCACCTGAACAATAGAGTGACTAAACAAGAGAGCAAAGAAAAACTCTGTATATATAAAAGAAAAGTCCTGCTGACAAACGTACAAAATGTCATAAAACAACGGACGACTACAAAAGCTCACCATAAAGCCCTTAATTACCATGAGATTCTAGAAAAAGAACAGCAATTTAAATATGCATAGAGATATAATCGGGGGAGACTACATTCAGTATGCGTGTTCCCCACCTCTCCAGTTCGGTCAGTGTCTTGTTCAGCCCATGCGAGTGGAGGAAACCTGCGAACACAGAATGAGGTTAAATATTTATTTCACTTTTTTATATTTACTCACTGCAAAAACACAGTAACGACTACAGTCGAGTGCAAAGGTTTGCATCCCCTTGCTCTGAAATCATAAAAGAAAATGATGGGAATTATAATTACAAGTAAAGCTTTGAAACCAATATTAAGGTATACCACAATATTTAAAAATGCCCGTATTTCAAAATTATGGCGTGTCAAATTTCTATCCCACGGCCAAATACACACATCTATATTTTAGAGATGCTCACTGATTGCTGGTGTCACTTTTGTTGTAAAATTTGCACTCATGCTGGAAAATCTTTGGCAAAAAAAAAATAAAACTAATATAAAAACTAATAATTTTTTTTTTTTTCAAATTTTCCACCTACGGCAAATACACGTAATAAGCTGAGGCTATGAAAACGGACAAAAGTAACTTGTCTTGGTAAACAGCAGCATTAGCAGACATTTTGATGACTGAAATTTGTCTACCATTTTTTTTGGAACAGTAGATCAAAGTGTCAGAAGTAATAAGTCTAAATCTATTTGAGATTATTTAACAACTCAACACGGTCTGCACTGTAAAAATGTTACCTTGTCAAGTGAAAGTATCTTAAATCTAGTTAATACATCTAATTCTGAGATGGTTGTAGGATTATTTAAGGTTATATTACTTATTGTTAAGACATTTTACTCTTTTTAAGTCATTTTATCAAGTAAAATGATCTCAGTATGCTGGAAGATAATTTTGCTTGTTTCAAACATTATTTCTTAGAACAAGCAAAATTATCTGCCAATATTGTGAGATTATTTTACTTGACAAATGGACTTAAAACAAGCAAAAATGCCTAGAAATAAAAACAATCTTATAATAAGTTTACAACAATCTCAATATGAGAAATATTAGATATATTGACTAGATTTAAGATCATTTCACTTGACAAGATATCTTTTTTTTGCAGTGTGAAGCAAGTGTGACCATTTGGACATGCAGTTTTCATGATGCTAATTGGTGGAGAAATTAAGCTTTATTTAATTGTTAGAAACATGAGCCTCGTAGCTCCAGTACAAGACTAAAGAATCAAACTTCACACACCAAACCTGTCTTGGCTGAACAACTATGTTTGAGATAAGAGGGAGAAAAACTGCAAATCTGCCTTCTTTTCACTATGAAAACAAAAGGTGGAACCTGTACATTAATGTTTTTATGCACTGTGAAAAATGATACATTGGCAAAAGAAAACAAGGTAAATGTAGTCAACATGTATAATATTTGTATGAATATTCTAAGATTATTCAGCCTTTTTCTAGATAAGCAATGTTGAAAACAAGCAAAAACTATCTGCCAACAAATATTATTTAATAATGTTCTGACAATGATTTCAAAATGAGAAATAATAGATATTTACTAGATAATTTCACCTGTTAATACATAATTTTTGTGTAATTACCTGAGAGATGTTGACTCCAGTCAGTTTCTCCACAGTTAGAGGCAGGCGGCTCATAATATCCAGAACCTCCCCAGTCAGCTTGGCTGCTCCCACCTCCGAGCCTCCACTGGACACCATGGTGATCTTCTGGGCTGCAGAGAGGGGCTTGGTGATCTCTTCTGCCATCTTGAAGAGAAAACAAACATCAGGCATTTAAAAAAACAATCCACCGATGGCATAATTAGGCAGAAACGATTGACTGGTTGATTTATTATGGTTATCTTCACGATGGGATGGCTGACCAGAGGCAGTTTCTCCAGCAGCATGTCAACCATGGCGCCTTCCTTATACTGCTTGAAAGCCTCAGCCTTCTTGGCCATCTGCTCGGCCTCGGCACGACCCTTAGCTTCCATAGCAAATGCCTCTGCCTCTCCCTTCATCTGACAGAGAGAACGAGAGCGAGAGAGAGAGAGAAAATCAATTTATAACCTCTAATGTCCTTTATGATTCCTAAAGATACAGCACAGAAGGAAAAAGCAAGGCAATTTACTCACTCTAATAGACTCTGCCTCAGCTTCAGCCTCCATGATCAACTGCAGCCTGTCAGGCGAGGAAGAGGGGAGGTGTTACAGGCCAACTGCATGTCATATTACATTCATATTACAAGCCTTTTCTTCAATTCATCAATTTTGTGTTTTTCTTTCTGCCTTAATGGTTCACATTTGTGTTTGTTAGTGACTCATATCATATGCATAATATCAAGTTTAACCTGCTACTGACATGTATGTAAACAGTCAGTAAAGATGGGTTTGATGCAATACAATCAAATGTAGGGAAACCAAGTCAGATTTCTTTACAGTGGTGCTGATAGGAACCAGGAGTCACCATGTCTACAACACAAACATAGCCAATTATTTATTATCCAAAATGACCAGTGAACCTTAACGTGTCTGAGTTTTCATATGTGATGTTGATGATGATGAGGCTTGTAGACAAGTTCTAAACCAAAACCATCTCAAATCTGTCGTGAAACAATGTCTCAGACAGTGTATTCATAACCATTTCATGCATTAACTGTCCTCAAGGGAGCTTTCAGAGGCATTAAACTTGACTTCTGGTTCCTAGCAGCAACAATGTGAACATTTCTGCCTCAGTAAGTTTCTCTAGAACGGCGCATTTCACACCAAACTACTCTGAGCAGTTCAATTTCTCATAATATTCAAAATCGCTTCTAAAACATCAGGAGAGGAAAAGCAATTAACCAATAACATCATTCTTCACCCCCCCACCCTCATCTTTTATCGACAGAAAGTTAGCTCAGAGACCCTCAGTCGCAAATACGTCATGATATGGAAGGAAAATGTGTACAAATTTTTTATCTGACTCTTTCAATTATGGTCACATGGCCGTGTATCAGACACTTATTTGATCTAGGAGCACATTTGGAAAGATCAGATTCTTGGGTCCACACAGCTCTTCCAAAAAAGCAGATTTGTACCCTCTGCTCACCCCTGTAATGTGAATATATCCAGTGTTTCAAACACGTCTAAAATATACATGGGGGAACATCCGGTCGGGTGGTATTATAATATATATAAATATCCAAACTTATCTCAGGTGTCTATTTCACTTGATTAGGCATTCCATATGGCAGGTATGGTTTAGATAAAAAAAGAAATAAGCAATACAAAATAACAACATAAAATATTTTGGAAATTGCAAAAATGTAAATATATATATATATATATGTAAATATATATATATATATATATATATATATATATATATATATATATATATATATATATATATATATATATATATATATAGGGATAGTGGGTCTGAGAAAACCCTTCATCACTGAAGACCATTTACGTGCTGTGGTTACAAGTTACCGTTCAGCCTCGGCGAGTTTCTCCAGCCGGTATCTCTCGGCCTCAGCTGGTTTCTTGATCTTGGCCTCCAGTTCTTTCTCCTTGCGTGCGATTTCCTGTTCCTGCAGTGTAATCTGCTGAGTGCGCTCCACCACCTTCACCTGCATCTTCTCCTCCTCAATCCGCTGCTTTGTCTTAGCCACCTAACGCAAAAGAACAGGGAAGAGGGAACATTAACCATGTCATCCTCCAGCTTCATCACTGTAAAAAAAGTCATGAGCTGTATTTGCTTGCTTAAAATGTGTACATTATTTTCACATGAATATTACTTCTGGCAATAACTGTGCTGTAATATTTCTTTTTTCATCGTACACATTTGACATAAATTCAATGCATCACTTTTTTCAGTTTACTATTCCAGATTTCATGAATGAAACGCGTATATTTGTTCCTGGGGCTGTCACACAACTCCCGTACCTGAAGCTGATAGGCCATCTCAGATTCAGCCTTCTTGGTGTTGACCTCTATGTCGTAGGCAGCCTTCTTCAGCTCAAAGTCTCTCTGGGCCTTCGCCATCTCAATCTCATTCACATACTGTGCAGACACTTTCGCCTGCGTGGCATGAGCCTCCTAAACACAGACACACATAGCAAAAAAGCCAGAGTGTAAATTCATATTTTATCTTACATACATACATATATATATATATATATATACACACAATGCAGACAATAAAAGCAAGCTTTTTGGGGGGAGGGTGGTTTAGAAAATAGCTTGAGAACTTCATATTTGCCAAAAATGAGAGCACACTTACACTTTAATACTGTATACTGACATTGCAATAAACAATGGGTTTCTCTCAAACACTCTTTTTCTGCCAAGGTCGGTTTAAAACCAGAAGCACAGCACGTGAAGTAGAACATGTCGGTAATAAGTTCAATTATTCATAAATCACAAGTGAAAAACATGGCGGGAGGCTATAGTTTTTAATGTACTGTCACCTGTCTTTGCGAGCTTGTAGTAGTAGAGCTTATATACTTGTCATTAGGGGTTTATTAGGGGTTTAGATCATTATCAACAGATCTTATAACCCAAAAACTTAATTTGAATTTCTAAGCACATCACAGGCTAGAATAAAGATAACTGTAATACATTCTTATAACTATTCAAAGCCATTTCTATAATGCCTTATGAGTCCATTATAACATGTGAATGTGTTCATATGTTCATAGACATGGTATTCATAATAAAGGGGTAATGAGAAGTCTTACCCTGATGACTGCGTCTCTCTTGTACTGTGCCTCTCCGATACGAGCGTCTCTCTGAACCTGAGCGGTACGAGCTTTACCCAGAGAGTTGAGGTAGTCCTTACAGAGGGGCAAAACATGGAGTTAGCTCAGTAAACGTTAATAGGTGAGAAAGTGTATTTCTGTATGTGTGTGTTGAGCCCAGTCACCTGGTCATCATGAACATCCTTCAGTGTGTAGCTGACCACTCCAATGCCCATGTTGACCAGGTCAGAAGAAGCCACCTTGAACACTTGCTCTGAAAACTTCTTACGGTCCTGATAGATCTCCTTCAGGAAAATAGAAATTGTGTAGAAAGTAACATTAGGAGTTGATGATTACAAGCTGGATCTATACAAATTATCAAGAATGGGATACAAGGAGGAATGGGACGTAGGGGTGGGCGATATGGCAAAAATATTGCATCACAATACTTTAGGACATTTTCACGATACACGATATAAATCACAATATTTATGTTTTTTTCTTTAATAAGTTGAAAGAGACAAATTAGAACCTATAGTCCCACATATTAATAAAAAAAATAAAATAATAATAAACCTACAACTACAATGATTTTTATTTAATGTTTCACACACTGTGCTGCACTAATTCAATAAAATTGACCTAATTATGCTCACTTTTTAATGGAACACGCAGTCAGTAAGTGTTCTTTAAGTACTAACAGTATCCAGGATATGCTCAGAAAAGCGTACTGTGACATAACTTAATCACGATAATGATAAAGTACCGAGATATGGCCCAATCCTAACAGGATGGTATGAAAATATCATCAGTTTCATTAACCACAACTACCACAGTTTTTGCTGTTTACACTGTATCATTAAAAACTTGAGGAAGAGCTGAAAGCAGCACGAGGGCTTTCAACTTACCCCATAGGCAGGGTTAACTGTAACAGATAGAAGAGTTAAGCTTCTTTAAATGCTCTGAGCTGCTCATGTCTAAATGCCATAAAAGTCTAGTAACATACAAACATACATACACGTACAATACAAAACATACAGTTCGATGCTGTTTGAATCAGATAAGTTTTCCAACCCAAATAAAAAACATCTGCATAAAAATATATACGATTAGGGAAAGAGGTGTCAGACTTCGCCAATTTCAGACCACGAAGTTTAAAAGCAAATATTAACATGACAAAACTGAAATATATTTATTTAAATGGCTATCACCACAGAACAGGTTCAATTTTGGCTTTCCATCACCCCAACACTCGTCATTCAACGTTTGCAGAATCAAGCCTGCACTGTGTTGTGCCCCTCCCATTTGAAAACGCCAGCTGACCTTCACACTGGCTGTGTTTACATTACAACATTTTTGACAATCCGATTAAATACATTCTGATTATAGATTAAGACTGAGGTGTTCATTCTACTCAACAATTTGATGGAAAATCTCCATTTATATGCACACTACAAGTAATCAGATCCAAAATTATACGCATACATAAAGTACAACTTAGTGCAGACGTTACCATGACAACGAACATCACGTGAGTCCAGTCAGAGTGAGATGAGCAGCAGTGAGCAGTGCTTGTGTTTTTAATTGCTTTAAAATGATGTCAGACTCAGGAAAACGTCCTTCACATGTCCTTATTAAAGAAGGCCGAGAGGAAGACGTCGTGTTCTGAGACACATGAGCTGGACGTCCGTCCCACCGCCGTCTTTTAAAGACCAGAGCATAAACTTCGTCTCCTCTGCAGACCGGTTTCTGCTCCGCCATGTTGAACGGTATAAACTTTCACTGTGACGCGACAAACATGATCAGAACGGACTTAAACTTTCCGATAGGGAATGTAATCAGATACAGGCGTTTACACGGATATTATTCTTCCATTTAACAGATGATTTACCGGATTACCCACCTCGTTCAATCAGGTAGAAATTGTATTCCCGAATGGCCTAAATCAAACTAGACTAATCCATTTGAGGTGTTTACATGGACGTATTCTATTCCGATTGAGCTATTAGCCAGATTATTAACAGATTATCGGGCTGCATGTAAACGTGGCTACTGAGTCGAAATTTCATGATAAATGGAATTATACAATTATTAGAATAATATCTTGTTAGATTAACTTAAACTGAAAGTTAAGAATGTTTTTTGCTTCTCTACTTACTTTTTTAGAGATAGGAGATTTTGCTCTGACAGCAACAACATGTTGTTGCCTGCGGCAGATATTTACTTTCACTGTGACTTCATAAAAGACTCATCATAAAATCACACCAATCATACGTTTTTCAGAATTATTAAAATCTAAAAAGTGTGATAGTCATGTCCACCACTGTTTTTCATTAAAACCAGTAACTGTCCCATCCATAGATGTCAGTGTCTGACAGTTTACAGTTTGCATCTGTAGGCGACAGAAGCGTCACAGTGGTATTTCCTGATTCTCATTCCACAGCATGTTGTTCCACGTTCCTGCGCAATGTGTGGGTGTTTGTTTGTACCTCCACAGTCAGGTGAGCGATGATGGCTCTCTGGTGGCCCTCCAGCGTCTCCAGGGCAATCTGAGAAATCTCAGCTTCTGATTTGCCCATGAACATCTGACAGGCTGTGGCCAACATCTCCTTATTCTGGCCCTGGATCTTCACCTGCAGGGGACATCAACCAATCCCACCAGTCACATACAGAGGGAAGGTGTGTATGTATAATACATGTATGCGTACATGTCCATTCGAATGTTTGATAGATAGACAGATAGATGGACAGATGGACAGATAGATAGATAGGTAAAACTTTATTGATCCCAAAGGGAAATTGCAGTGTTTCAGTAGCAAGACATATAATTTCACATAAACTTACATGTACTAAGCAGAAAATAAAAAACAGAAAAATAAAATAGACGCAAGTATAAGAATAGAAATAAAGTATATCTATTTGCATATTTACATAGCATATTTGTTGAGAGATTTGTTGTATTTACATGATAGCAGGTACTAAGTGGTACGAGGTAGTCTATCTAGGAGTTGCAGCAATATTACAGTGCAAGTGTCATTACAGCAGCAGGTTATGATATATTGCAGTGTGTATTAACAGGAGAGGTGATATAGTGATGTGGTTCAGCTCAGTTCAGACAGCAGGAGATCAGTACTGTCTCTGCAGTAAGGAGACTCGCTGTAGAGCTGTATAGCAGTGGGTAAGAAAGATCTCACACAGCCTCTTTAACACAGCGCAGCTGTAACAGTCGGCCACTGAATGTGCTTCTCTGTTTATCCAGAGAATATCTGCATGCATGCTATCTGCAGCAGCTCCCAGGCTACCAAACACATGGAAGAACGCCAGAACACCGCACTACTGTCCATAAACAAAGAAACCTTTGGATGTTTGCAAAACTATGACTGACACACCTCTCAGCCAATCACTATCGTATCTAAATGCTACCTACTACGTCAAGGAAATGAAAAGCTCGACAAAACAAACCTGCAGTGAGAACGGCGGTGGCGGTAAACTACTCTGGAGTGGACAGGTGGTGGACAGGTGTTACTGAGAAACACGGACTCACTATTCTGATCATCTGGAGGGTGGAGCTGTTTTTATTCCATTTCTGAAGCTGAAACAGTTTTGGACTAAACTGTGTGGAAGACCAAACTCACAGCTCAATCACAAAGCTAAGAACGGGCCGAACTGTACCGACTTCAAACTTTTCTGGGTTATCGTAGTCACTAAAACCATTTAAAAATGATGTTTTATTAATGTTACAGAAAAATGTCAAGATCAGTCAACTAGTTCGCTTTTTTAAATCAGATTAAGCAGAACTGTGCAGCGCTCACATTTTGTTAAAACTCTGTATGCAAAGATTTGTATATGTTTGTATATGTATCATTAAAGTTTGTTGAAGGCTCTAGTGTAAAAGATGAGGATTCCTCCTCAGCTTATAACAGCATATAATAGCTTCAGTGTTAACCTTAGCATTAGCTCTTCTGAAAGGGTAGCTTCCGTGGCTAAAACCTCCTCCTTAATATACACGAAAATCTGCTGCTTTAACCTTTGAATGGCCACGTGATTTCCCTGGTTTGATTAACCTCTTATTGACCAGGGTACATTTTGGTTTGTCCATCTGAATTTACATGACCACATCGTAAGGCAAATTATTCAGTAACTGCATGAAATAAATGTAATTTTTTATTTTATCTATTTATTTTTTGGGTAAAAGCTCCCCTCAAATTAACAGAAAATGTGTTTATGATCACACATATTGCTATATGCTTACAATTTACTGCTGAAAGCCAAAAATCGTAGGCGCTCTCTGTATTGTTTTATAAAGGTAATGTTTACAGAGCAGATCACTGAAGAGACGCCGTCTGTTTATAGTTTATAGCCCAGATTTGTGAAAAAATGGGTCGACTTTCAGTAGAAAAAAAAACTGAGCTCAGCTTCTTTTATTATAAGGGTTTAAAATTACATCACCCATCTATTTGACTGAAAGAAGAGTTACAGCTCTCATACGACCCCCACCTTTTGAATGTAGCTTATGAAATATGAAAGTTATGAAGAACATGACGAAGTGTGCTTTGGAACCACCGGTGGTCTCAAGGAGTTGAAAAGGTTAATGTATACATGGTTCTAGAAACCATGTTTTTGTTCGCTTTAAATTGGACAACATTCATATTTTGTCAGCTCTCAAAGATGTCCGTCTGCTCCGAAACTGTAAAGCCAGCTTATTTTTGCCCAAAAATGTTTCAGATGTTCTCCTCTGTGTAGTTTTAAATTTTCCTTGGTGCAACTGAACTTTTTAGTCTGTTAGTATAAGTGTTACAGATGCTAACCGGTAGCCTGAGCTAAGTTTGACAGACGGAGCAATAATAACTAAGAGAGGCAGGGTTTTACAGCATTTTGCAGTCAATTATCTATTTTGGCTTTTAATTTTATAATGTATGAGCATTTTTGCAAACATCTGACAGCTTTATAGTGACTTAGCTATAGCAAATTTAAAGTGAATAATGCTTATAGTGATAAAAGTTCTCAAAGGAAGAATGTTTAGATGCAGAACTGGTAAAAAATATTTTCATTTTTTAAATAACTTTATCGAATATCATCTCAAACATTCTATAAGAATTAGGATAGACATGTGTTTCCCTTATCTTGAATAAAAGTACCAGTTATTCCAATTACTTTGCCGTTTTCCAATAGAACTTCCAAATAGAACCAAATTTCTATCAAATATTTGTTGCAGCCATACTCAGATAGCAGACTTTTCACGACAAGTAAACACTCCAAATGTGGACACTTTAAGGTGCAGTATGCTTATAAACACGCACGTGTTTAGTAAGCTAGTGATAAGCAGTGGGTTAAGTGAATGCTGATTGGCCCTCCAGTAGGGTTCGGGATATGAGATGCAGATAATACTGGACCTGAACCAGAACTAGCGCAAAATCACTGAGCAGTTTGAGGTTCAGCTCTGAGATTTGACAGAAGGCAAACATAAATACCATCATCAAAATATTACAAAATCAGTGAAGTGAGTATTAATTCTTGGAGACAGAGAGGAAAAATTAGAGACTTTCCTTTTTGTTTTCTGCATTCTAGTTTGGACGCTGGCCCCTCAGTGGACATGTAAAATAAGCAATAGAACACGAGAGGGAGTGTGTTATCGCGAAATAACATCACGGCTGTGATTTGGTCGCCATAGATAATCACAGCCATGATATTATACGTGATAACACACAACCTCGAGTGTTCTATTGCTTTAATACGACAGCTAAATAAATAAAGTAATAAATTAATAAACTGGGCCGTGAACGCGGCATTTAATATGTTTTAATGTTCGCAGTTCCTTCAGCCAGATTATAGTTCCTTAACAAGCAGCTTGTTGCTGCGTCAGAGTAACGAACTCCGCTCATTCGCTGCACAGCCGGCAGTTCGTTCTCCAGCTCCACACAGACCAGTTTGGGAATTTAGTGTAGTCTCATCTTCAGAGTCGGACCAAATCAGCTGTCGGTCAAATGTGATCTTAAAAGTCTCCATTTTCTGTTTGTGACAAAGTAAGAAGTAAAAACGTTCAAATGGCTCGAGCGTCTCCTACAGCTGTCAAAGTCATTGCTTAGCAACGGCATCTCAGCGGAGTGATACAGTGTTTGTGAAAAGAACGTGATGTTATGGTGAAATAACAGCACGGTTAGAACGCTTCTCAACCAATCAGCTTGTGTGGCCGAACTAACTGTTGTGTAATATGTATATGTATGTTGACAGTCACGTCTGTTCATAGCACCGGTGCATGTTCACATCACAAATCAGCCTTTAATTTAACATATTAACATTTACTCCAGTTACTTATCCTACTTATTTTCTTCCCATCAAGAAAAATATTGTATTTACAATTTGTCTTCATTTGAATATCTGACAAACCAACAAGGGGAAAGTTTTAATTTAATATTAGAAACCACCCGACAGCACTAATCTATACTGCTGACCTGTGCGATGCCAGTCACTGAGATGGGGACTCCATGTCTGGTGTAGACTTTATCACTCTTCACATTCAGAGTTAGAGTATTCAGAGATATCCTAAAAGAGAAAGAGAGAGAATGAAAATGATCCAGTGATGTAAGTTGTGTCACAGTGTCAGAAACCACAAGAAGAAGTGTATTAGAGACTGCTTAACAACACAGCTTGGTTTGAGGCAACTGTGTTATGATTTAGGCATGCAGTTTGCACACTGCTAATTGGTGGGTACAAGCTTCCATTATTTGTTAGCTATATTAGCCTTGTAGCTCCAGCGCAAAACTAAAAAGAAACCTACAGACACTTCAGACACCTTGGCTGATTGACTACATTTGAGGTAAGGGAGAAACATTATGTAATTGTTGCTGAAGTATCACTTCAATTCTTGGCTTGCCAGGACTACTTCCCGTTCAGAATCAGTGTCAGTACTACACTGACTGTGTATAAGCATCAAGTAATTCACATTCAGGCTGAAACAGGCTGGAAGACAGAATTAACATAAGGACGAATACCTTTGAATCTGCTGAATGCAAGGAAGGACAAACACTCTTCCACCTGAAATCATGAGGGGAGGAGAGCGCCCACAGCCTGAGAAGAGAGGAAAAAGAACAAATTAGACTCCAGTATTGCTTAAAGGCCGCGGAAGAAAGGAAGGTAAACAGGAATAAAAGTGATGTGCCATTTTCTCACGATTACTATGATATGCCCAAAATCAGTAAATCATAAACAGCTAAGACAAAATAAACATGAGAAAAACAACAATTGTATAAATTCAACACAAAGTGTGACACACAATCAACTTATCCGTGCTCCTCCTGAGGACATTCTCACGCAACCTCATGAGAAACTGTGGTGCACAACATGCTAACATTAGCTAATTTGTCACTATCGCCTCCAACCTGGTTAGCTGCAATAACAGCCCAGCTCAGTAATATAGCAGTTTAACCTCTTATTCTTCAAAGTATATTTTGGTTTGTCCATCTGAATTTACATGACCAAATCATAAGGCAAATTATTCAGTAACTGCATGAAATAAATGTCAATTTTTATTATTTATTTTTTTTAAAAGCTCCCCTTAATTTAACAGAACATTTTATTATCACACATATTGCTATATTCTTACAATTTACTGCTGAAAGCCAAAAATCTTAGACGCTCTTTGTATTTTTTATAAAAATCATTTTTACAGAGCAGATCACTGAAGAGACGCCGTCTGTTTATAGTTTATAGCCCAGATTTGTGGAAAAATGGGTCGACTTTCAGTAGACAAAAAAACTGAGTTCAGCTTCTTTTATTTTAAGGGTTTAAAATTACATCACCCATCTATTTGACTAGAAAAAAGACAGTTCCAGCTCTCATATGACCCCCACCTTCTGAATGTAGCTTATGAAATATGAAAGTTATGAAGAACATGACGAAGTGCGTTTTGGAACCACTGGTGGTCTCAAGGACTTGAAGAGGTTTAATTGTAATCATTTTCACAAAAAGTGTTGAGCACAACAGCTTCTCACTGGATTGAATGAGATTTTTGCCAACACTTTTGCCAAAACACCTTATGTGATGGAAAGTGGATAGTGGAAAATATTGTGATATCACCCACCCCTACCCAGAAGCATGACTCATCTAAATCCATCAGCTGGGAATTCTAATCATAACAGTTACCAAATTTATAATGAGTTTACATGAACACTAGATTGTCCAAGGGCCATTTTACTGTCTGAAGTGGACTCAGACCTCTGAGTCATGGTTTTCTGTGCATTTGTGAACACGCCAAATGAACCCAGACCCCTCTAAACGGCCCAAAAAACGAACCGAACTGAGACCACCTCTCGAGGTCTCAGTTCGGTTCGTTTGTAGTTTATTTTGAAGTTTGATTGATTTGTGTATTGTGAAAACAAAACGGCCCCAATCCGCTTTTGCTTTGCTCTATGGTGAAGACCTTGAGTCTTACAGCCACAGTCTTCTTTACTTTAGCAGGTAAAAACAGACCAAGGATCATTTATAAGATTGCACTCAGGATAAAGCCTGCCCGTGATCTGCGACAAGACAGTCGCACTGACATATTAAAGCGATAAGATGCGAGCCTGCATGATTAAAGGTTCATGCTGGGCCCACTGTGCAGAGTTTTAAGCTGCTTTTAGACTGAATGCTCTCAAACACACTATTTCATTGCAGATGCGGATTTCGCCGGGTGGAGCTCAGTGACGAGCACAGCTGAAAACTGAACCCACCGTGGCAGACCAACAGGGTCATTTTTCTAATTTTGCGCAATGCACTTCGGCCTATAGTTTCAGTGTGGCCAATAGGAGAGCAGCAGGTGGGTCTGGTAGTTCCTCTCAAATTTATTGGAGAACGCTGCCCACTTTGCGAGCACTGCACACGACATGAGTGCTGTGAAAGGGGTCTGAGTTCTAATGGAGTTGTGGTCTGAACAAGAAGTGGTGTGAGTCCTCTTTATAGTTCACTTACGTTGTGAACACAAAACAAAACTGAGGTCATCTGCAGTTGGTTCCCTTTCAGGATCACTTTAACAGAACTCAGTTCAGCTCATTTAAAAACAACTATATCGCTGTTGACGGAAGAAAACCTTGCATCTCCAAAATGGTAACTTTACAGGAGAAGGAAAAAACCTACTTTACTTTAATGTAAGTCAATGGAACCAGACGTCCTCCCCGAGTCACTTGGGGGTGTTTTTTTGGCCGTTCCATTCCCCCTACAGCTCAATGAGGATAAGACAGAGGCTTTGACTGCTACTCCAGAACAGGTTACCCACATGACTGAACAAAGTTTTGGTCTTCCTTCCTCTGCCGCCCACTCCAGCTTGCGTAACTTAGGGGATCTATCTGATCAATGCTCGTCATTCCACACCCATGTTAAGCAGCTGACCAGATCTTGTTTTTTCCCAACTTAAGAAATATTAGTAAACTGAGAACTGTAGTTTCAAATGCAGAGCTAGAGATGCTCTGAGATGAGAGATGATTTTGGCTTGTATTGACTATTGTAATTCTCTTTTCTCCTTCATTGGTATGTCTTCCCTTAATCGTCTGCAGGCCATTCAGAATTTTGCTGCAAGACTACTTACTAGGTCTACAACCTCTTTGCTATCATCTCTTCACTGGCTTCCAGTAGCGTCCAGTTTAAAATTCTTACTCCTACCTACAGCACAGTCAAGCTCCTGCATATGTGGCTGATCTACTTCACCCTCATTTATCAATTCGTTCTCCTAGGTCAGGGGTCACAACTGAACTGTGCCATTTTGTCCTTTCAACAAAAAAAAAAAGAAACACCTTGAGAGCCAAAACATTTAATGTTCGTTTTACCACCTTGGCTGTAAATGTGTCTCAGTGTGCGCTGATGTGTTAGTATAGGCTGAAAATCTAAACGAAAATGCAGATTTACTTTGCTCTGCTTTATCTCAGCTATAGCTGCTTTTCTTGCATCTCTGGCAGGAAACTTTTCCTCAGAAGTAGAATAGTTTCTTGTAAAATGTCTTAATGTTTGACTTTTTATGAGGCTTAAATCAGCTTCTCGTTCGCCAGCTTCTTGTTCAAATTTTCCCGTTCCACCCTAAATGGTGCCTGAGGTGCCAGAACGTACCATCTACGGTGGAACAGGAGAATTCGAACAATAAGCTGACAAATGATAAACTTGCGACTTTTCAGCGTTTGATAGTTTCTCGTTGCAGATTAAAGTCCATTCGTCTCCAAATTATCAATGTTCATCTTAAAATTTCCTCTCTGATTTTTCGTTAGCTACTACCTTGCCGAGATTGTTGTGTGCATTGCTATGGTGATTGCTGCGCGCCAATATTCAGGGTTAAAGGGTGAATCAGCAGTTCTACATTAACTCCAGTGTTTAAGACCATTTATTGTTAAAACTGTGTTTGAATGATCAGCAGAGCTTTATTTTACTGCAAAGGAGGATTATTTTATTTTTACCTAAGAATCTAATTCTGCTGTGGATCCACAACAGACCATTAAGAGCCACATGTTGCCGACCTGTCTTAGGTCAAATAAGCTACGTTTACTGTCTGTTCCACGTATCCACTTGGTGATCAAGCATTGAGGTCATGGCGCCTAAACCGTGCAGCGCTATGCCCACTCCTTTAAGGTCTGCTGACTCTGCAGAATCCTTTAAAGAGCAGCTAAAGACGTATGTTTTTACACAGGCGTTTGGGTAATCTATCTGCATCAGGTTCCCTTTTTTAATGAGCATTTTTGTTGGGTTTTTTTACGTTGTGTAATGTTACTGTAAAGCACTTTGTGACTTATGTCTGTGAAAAGTGCTATATAAATCATTTTTACTTACTAATATGTGGATTTTTAGACAAATGGTGCACTATCACAACAACAATTCCATGCTGGGAGTGGCAAAAACCAAAAAATCCATCCGTATCCACAAAGCATGTGCAAAATAAATCCCAAAATATGTATAAAACAGTGCTTCATCAGGACTCTAAAAATGGCACGTCAATGATGGTGCACTATTTTGTGTGTCCGGCATGTTGTGGCGTGGTTTGCATTCTCAGCTGTTTCGTCATCACTGTCCAACCAGTTCACTTTCTAGCAAACGCTAAGTAGAGAACAGTGATTGAGTTAATGAGTGAACCACTCTGAACTCAAGAGTCTAATCCAACACACAGAGAGACCGCGAGATTTGTTGAAGCTGTGTGGGCGGAACAAAACATATCAGCCTTATTCATGACCCAAGATTAGGACAGCTCAGTTTACACTGAAGAAGAATGTTGGCAAAACCCATCAGCCATTTAATGGACAGTAGGAGTTACTCACAGGACACATTTTATACCTGTACAGTGAGAGGAAACATAGATTCAGACATTTTTGGTTTTGTTATTTATTATGCAACAGTTAGTTCCGGCCACGCAAGCTGATTGGTTGAGAAGCTGTTATTTCACCATAACATCACGTTCTTTTCACAAACACTGTATCACTCCGCTGAGATGCCGTTGCTAAGCAATGACTTTGACAGCTGTAGGAGACGCTCAAGCCATTTGAATGTTTTTACTTCTTACTTTGTCACAAACAGAAAATGGAGACTTTTAAGATCACATTTGACCGACAGCTGATTTGGTCAGACTCTGAAGATGAGACGACACTAAATTCCCAAACTGGCCGGTCTGTGTGGAGCTGGAGAACGAACTGTCGGCTGAGCAGCGAATGGGCGGAGTTCGTTACTCTGACGTAGCAACAAGCTGCTTGTTAAGGAACTATAATTTGGTGAAGGAACTGCGAACATTAAACATATTAAACGCCGCGTTCACGGCCCAGTTTATTAATTTATTACTTCATTTATTTAACTGTTGTATAAAAGCAGTGGAACACTCGAGGAGTGTGTTATCGCCAATAACATCACGGCTGTGACGATCTACGGCGACCAAATCACAGCCGTGATGTTATATCGTGATAACACACTCCCTCTCGTGTTGTATTGCTTAAATATACTTCCAGTACATAAATCCATGAAATTTACAGGCATAACATCTTTTGACTTTGTATTTTCACTCATATAATAAAAATGATGGTTCTTCAAGGGTTCTTTAGTAAAGAAAATGGTTCTCTATAGAACCATGAACACTCAAAGACCCAAAAACCCTTTGTGTGATTACTTTGCATTGTTAAAAGAGTTCTTCAGATTGATGGAGAATGTGCTGTAGATGGTTCTATATAGGGCCTTTTTGAAAAGGGTTCTATATAGCACCAAAAAGGGTTCTTCTATTGGTAAAATGTCAAGCCTGTAACAATAGAAGAACCCTTTTTGGTGCTATATAGAACGCTTTTCAACAAGGTTCTATGTAGAACCATGCAAAACACACTATCCATTAATCTGAAGAACTCTGTAACAATGCAAAGAGCCCTTTAATCACACAAAGGGTTCTATGAGTGTTCATGGTTCTATACAGAACTCTTTTCTTTACTTAAGAACCCTTGAAGATCTTGTTTAAGTGTGATCAATATATATATTAAAAAATACATGTATATTTTTGGGACCCTTGGAGAATTAATGGCAGTTTGCCAAGAGAAGTGGGCCAAAACTGAACCACAGTGCTGCAAAAAGCTAATCATTTCGTACCTTGGGCGTCATTTTTGCTGTTTATGTTTATGAATACGCACTTTTTTGTTTGTATGTTTAAGTTTGAAGCCAAAAGATGTTAAATGTGTAAATTTCAAGTGGATGTGTGCACTGAGAGTACACTAAATACTGCCCTTTCTGTTTATAGTCTACACACAAGAGCATTATTAACCTACTAGAAAACAGAAATTTAGGTTTAACTGCTGCATATCTCTCTTGGCGCGATACGGCTGCTGCTTCGTGAAAAGTGTGTTAACAGATATGTTGTCTGTGGGTCGGTCCACGTCCATTCTAGAGGAAAGGAATTTGCAAACCACCTATGTTCTCTGAGCTTGCCTGAACACAAATCTTAATTTTTTTCAAATAGATCAAAACAAAAACATTAAAAATTATTTTTTATTACTTATCATGTTAAATTCTATTTCTTAATAAATGACAGAAAATCCAAATTTGATCATTTACAATATAAATGCACAAAATCCAAAAAACTGAACTGAATTTCTTTAATATTAATCAAAATTAAACAATTACTGAGCTCCACATGCACTGTCGAACCATAAGCATCATTTGACGAACTTACTGGACTGTTTTCCATGCCTCTTTATCTTAAATACCAACACACATCGTCAACTAATGACGATGTTATACACTGTGTTGACACTGCAGACTGATGTTACACACTATGATGTTCAATGTTTCCTAATAAAGAGTTTTGCTGTTAATTTCCTACGGCAAGAATTCAAAGGTGACTCAACAGGCGTGGTTTTATCTGTTTTTTGCAATTTACAAAAGCTTCATTTAGGATCTTTATGGTCAGTTTTGAGATAATGTTCTTTTTTCTTTTAACATTTAGTCCTACTAGAAAACAAGCTGGGGCCAAACGATTGAAATTGACAGTTTTCTTCATTTCTGCGATTCGAATATAGTAATTTTTAAAGTAACAGTATCCTAATATCACAACGAGCAAATATTTTATATCATTAGGAATACAAATAAAAAATTAAAAATGCAGAACCTTTAATGTTACTTCATTACGTTGGCATAAAAGGTGATCCTGTTCTGGTTCTTTGGCTACCAGCTGACCTAAAGAACAATAACCCAGAGCTACGCAAAACGACATTGTACATATTTCTCATTTTTTTGTTTTAAATTAGGTCTGTCAAGCAAATAAAGTAACTAATCATGTTCCGTCACATTCATTTGTGCAATCACATTTAATCACATTTGTCGTATCGGCACAAATTTGACCCTAAAGTAAGATTTTTTTCACAAAGCCAGAAATTTTGTTCTAGCTATATTAGAGAACTAAATAAGATGCTTCAGAATGTATTTATTACTATAATAACTCAATAATATCATTTTGTGTGAACTCAGGCTCTCGAAAGTAACTGGAGCTTTCCACTTTGCTTGTTTTTGCTCATCAATTTATCTGTAGCCTGCTGAAGTTGCTGAAGATTCGTTTTAAAAGTGACTTAAAAGCAAGTATTTGAACAAAAGGGCTACATTCACGGATTCAATCAGAGCAGCTCGGCTTCAGCTTGCGCTACTATGGATGGTTCAAAGGGTTAAACTATGAAATGGCATTAAAATTAGAGGCATTAATAATTTATTACATTTTGACAGCTATATTACTATAACCACAGTTTTAGTGGTTACACTCAAACCCAACATTTAAGGAAAGTTATTTATAAAGAATAAATACTTATGGGAATATTGTATGTTGTGTCATTTGTTACACACTTATAAATGCCTACCTGTTACACTTAAGGGAATGTTCTACGTAGTGTCATTGCATACTTATAAATACCTGTTACAGTGTAGTTACTCTGAGACGTGACTTGCTCTTACCTGAGACCACCATCGCCTCATTGGGACCGCAGGTGTGGAACATCTTGAGACTGGATCAAACCTGGAAAATAATTCTATATTATACACCACGTCCAGTTGTGTTGACTTACTACTACTACTAAACAATCCAATACAACCTTCAAAGCCAGCTATGAGACAGAACTCACTGACCACACTGAGTCCAACTCACATGACTTCTCTATTACCAAACAAGCAGCTATTTGTCTATAGACTGTTATGTGGCTGAGCTAAAGGCATGCTGCCCCTCCCCTCCCTTGTTCTCCATGATTTCCTGTTTCTACTGCACTGAAAACCAAACCACGACATGATTTGGGGAGGCTAGCACACAAGATCATTTCCCCACAGTAGTACAGTTTCCTTTGTAGAGGCGAAAACAGCCCACCTGTCTTCAGCAATGTAGAACATTTTACAGAAGGCAGTAAAATCAGACCCTCAAAGCTTCAAAAAGCCCCCCGACTTAATATACTAGCAGTGCAGCAACACATATTTTCAGGTTCGGTGTGATTTTTTTATTGTGAGGTCAAGATTCAATTCAGTTTGGTTAATTTTATGTGTTAATAAGGTTTGGATTCCATAGAGCTCTAATGATATACAACACACAGTGTGTTTACATGCACTCAATAATCAGATCATAATCAGATTTCTGCAGTTATCTGATTATTCAAATGGTCATGTAAACAGCAAACTCTGATTTCTTAGATCGGAGTAAAGTCTAGAAATCTGATTAAGAAATCCGATAAAGAGAGCTGGACTTTAGCTCAGTAATCAGATTTCTGCAGTTATCTGATTATTCAAATGGTCATGTAAACAGCAAACTCTGATTTCTGAGACTGCAGTAAGGTCTAGAAATCTGATTAAAAAATCTGATTAAGAGAGCTGGACTTTAGCTCAGTAATCAGATTTCTCAGTGCATGTGACTCTTACTCTGATTTCTTTCGGATTTCTCAGTCTGCGCTTGTGTGAAAACAGACCGGAAATAAGCGAGCAGCGTCGCCGTGAGACGCAACAAAACACGCTGAAACTACATGCTTGACGAAATGAAGGATTTAAATATTCTTCATCTTCTACATGATGTAAGTTCATATTTTCAGATAAAGTGGTGTGATGTTTTTAAAAAAAAGCCGCAGCATGAAGTTTGAGTTTTACATTACGTTCACGTCTCCTTCTGTGAGTTTATTGTCTGGTTGCAAAGCAGAAATCCGATTACTGTCTGACTCACGTAGACCCGGAGTTCCCCATCATGTGATTACACAAGTGCATGTAAACGTGTTGATCGGATTACTGACAAAATCTGATTTTCTGCAGTTATCGGATTATTAGGTGTATGTAAACGCACTCAGTGACTGGTTTGGCTCAGACAAATTAAATTTTATCATAAAGTCGTGTGTGATCTTATTAAATAGTGCAACTGAGCCATAAACAGTACAAAAACCTGAACTCATATAAAACCTTATACAGCCCACTTTTCGACCCTCCAAAATTGCACCAATGTGGGAACTGTGGGCTGATGCTGAAATCCAGTGCATTTATTTGTAGATGCAGTAAAATGAACAAAATGAACATATTTTAGCACAGCCGCACAGCATCTCCTGAACGTTCTCCTCATTCAGAGTAAAATAAATACGTCATCAAATATTGGTTTGAAATATCAGTCAAATGTAAACATCTGTACTGCTAATGTCTTTTAAAGAAGAATAACATTTCATTTTCAAAATTTCTGTATATAAATTTGAGATGTAAACAAGTCATCCAGGATGGCTTGATGTGAAATGGGTTACTGTAGAGAAACTTATCAATTATTTTACTGTGCTGGTGAATGGAACCAGGGGGTCACAATGTCTGTAACACAAACACAGCCATTTTATTTACCATTCAAAATGACGTGAACCAACATGAGTTTTTTTATATGGAATGTTGAAAAATGTAAAGTAGTGGAAAAGCTAAAGATGTTTTTCTTTGGGGACTAACAGGCCTTCCAAAGTCTTATGCTTTAAAAAATACATTTTAAAGCAATTATCTGCCAATACTAATATGATTCTGATTTATTGTACATTTCTAGTATGTATGCTGAATCTCATACACACACACACACACACACATATATATACACACATATGTATATCCTTTATTATATCAATCCTTTGCCCTTTAGAATATACATTAAAAGGTAGTACATAAGGGTTAAAGGGGTACGCCACCGATTTCTCAAAAAAATACTACATAATTAAATAATAACTACATAATTAAGTTGTTGAGATGTAAACAAAGTCATTCACAGTGGTTTGGTGTGAAATGCTCCGTTCTAGATAAACTTACAGAGTCAGAATTGTTCACAGTGGTGGTGATAGGAACCAGACGTCCACCTCTAAAAGCTCCCTCACAGAAAGTTACTACATGAAACGGTTATGAATTCACTGCCTGATGTCTGAGACCCTGTTTTGCGACAGCTTTGTGATGAAGTTTTGCCTTAAAATGTATTTTAATCCATTTAATTTAATCCGTTCATGGCGGCGGGCTACGTGCAGGGCGTCTTAAGACAAAATAGTCCCCAAAGAGAACTTATGTTTTCAGCTTCATGATTATTTTACCATCATCAAGATTGCATATAAACACTCAGAAGACTCGTGTGGGTTCACTAGTGGTTTTGGACAGTAGATAAAATGTCTATATTTGTGTTGCGGACATTGTGACCCCTGGTTCCTATCAGCACCACTGTAAAGAAATCAGAGTCTCTACAATCAACCATTTCAGATCAAACCTCTCTGAATGACTCTGTTCACATCTCAGTGACTGAATTACTCAGAAATTAGCTAATCCTACATGTCTAGTGATAATCGTCTTGCTGAAAGACAGTTCGATCTTGAAAATATCAGCTGTAGTTCCTGCTGGTCAATCATTTCCAAACCATGTCAGCTGATTTAAATTAACGCAAGCTAACGCAGAACAGACCTACTTCGAGTTCATGCCACTGACATTCAACACAAGCTGTGACAGTTAACAGCTACATTATCGTCTGAAGCAAAAAAGTTTAGATTTTAAAACAAAAAATACCCAAATTTTGGTAAAAACGGCTCGCAGGCACAGCACACGCTAACGTTATGCTACCTATGCTAGCTCAGTTAGCCTCACGAGACGCTGCGCTGGTTGTGAATTAGCCTGTTAGCTTCCAGACCAACGTAAACAAACCAGCTGACGGCTCCGGTTACAGCCTTTCTCACCGTCCATTTAACGTTTAAATCACTTTAAAATAAACTTAATGGACTTCTTATTGTTTTCTTACCGAGAGTGGACCGCGGGGAATGGAGTACGCAGTAAGATACGCTTTCGCAAACGCGGAATCTCTTGAAACTGAGGGATAAAGTCTCTCTGGTGAACCAGCGACTGCAGAGAAAAAGACACTCACTGGACGGTCGTAGCCGCGCCCATTCACTCTAACACACATACATACACACACACATACACACATACATACACACACACACACACATACATACATACACACACACACACACACACACACACACACACACACGGCGCCCTCTGTAGGCTGCTCTCTGCTGAGGCGTTAAAGGAGAAGTCCACCGGCTTTTCACAATTTCTGCTAGATTTAGACAATGAGACTTGACCAAAGCCACTCAGAGTGGTTTGATGTAAAATGGTTCATTTATAGAGAAGCTTACCAGCTTATATTTTCTTTACAGTGGTGGTGATAGGAACCAAAAGTGTCTACAACGCAGAGACGGACATTTTATTTGCTATTCAAAACCATGATTGAGCGTGCAAGTGAGTTTTTACATGTAATCTTGATGATGGTAAAAGTCATAAATCTGACAAAATATCCGTATTCATAACCACTTCATGTAGTAGCAGAAAGTGAGAGAGCTTTTAGACACATCAAACGCTTCAAACGTCTGGTTCCTATCACCACCGCTGTGAAGAATTTTGACTCAGTAAGTTTCACTTGTGGCTGGATGCAATCAAATCCTCACAGCCATGTTCCAATATCTAGCGTAAAGCCTTTCCAGAACCTGTTACTGCAGCAATGGTGAGGAAAGTCCCTGTTAATAAACTCTTTATTTCAGAAATGTTTGATGGCCAGGTGTCTACACCATTTTAATAACATACATATAGTGTCTTTTAATATTATGATTAGTCAGGATCTCAGTGAGCTCTGCTAAAGCCTGAGTAGACTGATAAATCAACGCGATGATCAGTTATTAATCTCAGTGTTACTGAGCTCTGCTAAAGCCTGAGTAGACTGATAAATCAACGCGATGATCAGTTATTAATCTCAGTGTTACTGAGCTCTGCTAAAGCCTGAGTAGACTGATAAATCAGTGTGATCAGTTATTAATCTCAGTGTTACTGAGCTCTGCTAAAGCCTGAGTAGACTGATAAATCACTGTGATGATCAGTTATTAATCTCAGTGTTACTGAGCTCTGCTAAAGCCTGAGTAGACTGATAAATCAATGCGATGATCAGTTATTAATCTCAGTGTTACTGAGCTCTGCTAAAGCCTGAGTAGACTGATAAATCAATATCAGTAATGGACATGTTTCTGGGTGATAAATTGAACATCGGTGTTGTGAGAGAGAAAAAAAAGTTTTTGGAATTTTATTTAATGATAAGCAAATTTTTCATAAAATATATTAAAATAATAACTAATGAAGAAAACTACCAACCAGTAGTAGCGAGAAACAGTGTGAATCAAATAAAAAAAAGTTTTTCCATTGTACCTGACCAGGACACACTATAAATGTATTTTAAATGGACTCTAAACACATCACTTTTGTACAGATTTGGGCAAAATACTTTGAAAATGTCATGATGGCTGAGTGCAGAATACACTGTCCTAATGTATTCAGTAATGTATTCCATTACAATACATAAAAAGTAATGTATTCAGAATACATATTGATAAAACAGGTGGGGAAAACTCTGCTGTTGTAATTCTTATTTATTCCACACTTTTCCGTGCTGTAAGTGGTTCTTCTGTTGATATGTTTAACTAAAAATTCACTTATTTAAACGAAGTTGCAAAATTCATAAAATTATTTTGGCTCTCATTTCCCGCTAAAGTCCACTGCTGTTTCAATAGTCCCAGTGCTGCTCCCACAATCCCTCTGCCACCTCATGGACTAATTCACCATATTACAGCGATTTTGCAAATTTGACTATAAAAGTGTGGAGCTGTGTGATTTTTAGGTAATGATATGTAAGACTGAGATTAATAACGGATCACATTGATTTATCAGTCTACTCAGGCTTTAGCAGAGCTCAGTAACACTGAGATTAATAATTGATCATCATATTGATTTATCAGTCTACTCAGGCTTTATCAGAGCTCAGTAACACTGAGATTAATAATTGATCATCATATTGATTTATCAGTCTACTCAGGCTTTATCAGAGCTCAGTAACACTGAGATTAATAATTGATCATCATATTGATTTATCAGTCTACTCAGGCTTTAGCAGAGCTCAGTAACACTGAGATTAATAACTGATCATCACATTGATTTATCAGTCTACTCAGGCTTTAGCAGAGCTCAGTAACACTGAGATTAATAATTGATCATCATATTGATTTATCAGTCTACTCAGGCTTTAGCAGAGCTCAGTAACACTGAGATTAATAATTGATCATCATATTGATTTATCAGTCTACTCAGGCTTTAGCAGAGCTCAGTAACACTGAGATTAATAACTGATCATCACTTTGATTTAACAGGCTACTACATCTTTAGTAGGACCTTCAGTGCCTGTAAAGAAGCTGTTTTTCAAGTTCTTCTTTAGAGTAAGTGTTTACACACTATGGGCTGATTTGAAATAGTTATTAACAAGCATTGATGGTGTTTCTCTTAAAGATGGTTATATATTTTTTTAAATGTAGTGGGTAAGTATTCTAAAAGTATTCTGAATACTGCTTTTACAAAATATACAGAATACAGATACTTAATTTTTGTATTCTGAATATGTATTCCCAATACTTGTATTCCATTACATCCCAACCCTGCTTTTGTATTCAGCATTCAGCAATGATTACACTTTTAACATTATTTTGATTTTGCTCACCCCCTGTATATATATATATATATATATATATATATATATATATATATATATATATATATATATATATATATATATATGGTCTTCAGTGGTGAGGACCCCCTTGGACCCTCACAGAGCAGGTACTATTTGGGTGGTGGAACATTCTTAGCACTGCAGTGACACTGATGTGGTGGTGGTGTGTTAGTGTGTGTTGGACTGGCACGAGTGGATCAGACACAGCAGTGCTGCTGGAGTTTTTGAACACTGTGTCCACTCACTGTCCACTCTATTAGACACTCCTACCTTGTCAGTCCACCTTGTAGATGTAAAGTCAGAGACGATAGCTCATCTGCTGCTGCACAGTTTGTGCTGGTCATCCTCTAGTCCTTCATCAGTGGTCACAGGACGCTGCCCACAGGACACTGTTGGCTGGATATTTTTGGTTGGTGGACTTTTCTCAGTCCAGCAGTGACACTGAGGTGTTTAAAAACTCCAGCAGCACTGCTGTGTCTGATCCACTCAGACCAGCACAACACACACTAACACACCACCACCATGTCAGTGTTACTGCAGTGCTGAGAATGATCCACCACCCAAATAGTACCTGCTCTGTGAGGGTCCATGGGTGTCCTGACCACTGAAGAACAGGGTAAAAGGGGGCTAACAAAGTATGCAGAGAAACAGATGGACTACAGTCTGTAACTAGAACTACAAAGTGCACCTATATAGTAAGTGGAGCTGATAAAATGGACAATGAGCGTAGAAACAAGGAGGTGGTCATAATGTTATGCCTGATCTGTGTATATATATATATATATATATATATATATATGTTTGTGTGTTTTCTGGATTAAATTATCAGCTCGGATGGCCCAAAGCCCCGCCCCCATTGTCTCACTCAGACCAATCAAATCGTTCCACCGCCTGCTGGCCACGCCCCCTCGCTGTCCGAGCCTCGTTCTGGAGTGAGTCCAGGATTATAAAGCCTTTGTCCAGCCACATTCACTCCAGCGGAGCCACGCCGTTAGACTTGTACCCGGAGAAGACTGCAGCACTTCAGCGTTCATCATGAGAGAGATTGTCCACATCCAGGCCGGTCAGTGCGGTAACCAGATCGGTGCCAAGGTAAGAGAAGCTCTGATTTTTCCTTGGAAAAAAATGAGAAAATGAAATAAACATTCTCATAATTCAGCCTGGAGTGGGTTTAAGACACAACAATGAAACCTCCATATCAGAGGAGTGGCCTGCTACCCTTACTAACGGTGCTGACCATTATTTAGATAATAAATTAATAAAATAAGAATATTAAGGAACGTGAATTGCTCATTGTATTACTACTAAACCCTCTTAACACATACATATGTGCATAAATAAATGTAAAATGCATTATATGCAACAAGGCTTAAGATGTTTTCCTATTACCCATCTTGTTGTTCGAATTTTCCCGTTCCACCTTAAACGGTGCAGCAGTTACATATTGGCGCCTGAGGCGCCAGACTGTAACAGTTGCCCCATTTAAGGTGGAACGGAAAAATTCGAATAAAGAAGCTGAATTAAGAAGCTAAAGGCCTCATAAATGATCAACATGTAGGTCAGTCTGTGCCTTCGTTTTATGTTTCATTGATTTGCTGGTAGGCGACCATAGCTCTTCTCTGGCTAGCACGAATCCAAAATCATTAATATCGCCTATTCATTCATTCAATTCCTTCATTAAATTTGCCTAAAAATGACTTAATTTGTCATTTATTGACGTGAAACAACCTGATATGTACTTTCTATCCGTCTCCCAACAAAATGGTCGCGGTCGTGATTCCTTTCTTTCCTTTTTCTTTCATTCTCCATCTTTTTCTTGCCGGCTAACGGGCGTGGCGTGTGCGAATTTCACGTTCCACCTTAAGCCGCGCACAGTTCCATCCAGTCGCCTGCACGAGCGCCCAATGCAACGCTGCGCTGTTTAAGGTGGAACGGACAATTCGAACAAGAAGCCGACCTAGCTAAGCTATACAGCTGTCAGGGAAAAAAAAATACATATTTGTGGGATAAAAAATGATGCTGTTTTTAATCTACAGCCTATATATGTCGATTTTCCCCCTAATTCGACGTTTTCAATCGATATTTGGTGCAGCTGTCCTCTCCGTTCAGATGAATGAGGGTGGGAAGGGTGGGGCGAGAGGATCTCTGACAAAGAAAACTATTTCTCCCTGCATGAATCTCAGCCAGTTGTCTTAAGCAGATGATCTCTTTGTCCTTATGAATATTTAAATCAAACATTCCTTTGTTTAATATGTGCATATTCTTTTTTTTTATAGATTTGTTGCCATTATTCATATCTTTTCATTATTCAGGACTGTAAAATGTCAGTCTATGGCAAATCACAGCCTATGATAAGAGGATCTACCTTCTAATCTGCTATTAACCCCCTTATTACTTGTACTAAAACATAAATGGCAGCGGTCCCGTACGGAAATCTGATGTATGGTCATATATGCACATATATCATAAAGTATATCTTAAAATACACATTGCATACATATACGTATCAATTAGTATCAAATATTGGACATATCTGCATAATATATGGATCATATATAGCTATATATGTCTGATACATTGTCGAATACATCCCAGTTATAACTGTCACTGTGTTAACTGGTTGCTTTTACATATTAAATTATTTCAATTTGTCAGAGAAAAAAACTAATTTATTTCAAGTTTAAATGATTTTTATTGCACAGCTTACATGGACATGTTTTTAAAGTTTAATAAATTAAGCCATTATAGTCATTTCTTCATTCGGACGTATGTGGAAGAAACAAAGAAGATGCATTAAAACCTTAGAAGCTGGCATGCGTGTGTAATATATGTTGTCTATATATGAATAGGTGTTACACATACGTTTGTATATGTTGACGTATGGCTGAAATATATTTGAAAAAGGCCAATTTCACATAAGTTGGCATATATATGTGACGTATATGTGACTCATATAAGCTGGATATAAGGGAAATCCATATATGCTAATATAAGTCACTTTTTTGAAATCCATACGTTGCCATACATCAGATATTCTTATGGGATGGGCAGTTTTAATGCTGAGGTAGTCGTCCACGGCTTCAGCATCTTGAAGGTTGTCACCGTTTTGAAAAAAAGGGCTTCAGTTAATGAAAGCTCTGGGTTTAAGTCATTATTAAGATAATGACCGTAGTGCGTTCGGTGTGGGCGTACTTTGACTGCACAGTCATTGTCTCGAACCCAGCTAGGCTCTGGGTGGGGAGGGGTGGGCTCCAGCAGATGGAAGATGTGGACTTACTAATGGGTCTCCCAGCTGCTTCTTCTGCCAGCCTGTGGTTTCCAAACCAGATTTCCAGATTTAGTCTGGATTGCAAGGGAGGATGACATGGAATTCCTGCCTGCTTAGCAATGCAGTCTTGCCCAGCCATGGCACTGATTAGGGCCGCAGAATATATCCTTTGTTAACCGCTATCGCGATGCAAACATCATCTGTGGAACGTTCCCTGTTGATAACCTTATTACCATGAGGGGGTGCATGAATAATAATCATACCAGTACTGCCAGATAATTGCTTTTAAAAACATAGTTGCTGGGCTGTGATACTAAAATATCTGCATTTTATTCATTTTACTCTTTTTACGTCCCTAAAAAAAGAAAACTTTACTCTTTAATCTTAAGCCAGGTAGATTTAGTCCCAATTTCTATGCTTTATAAACATTGATGTATCAACATTAGCAGATGCGTACATGAAAAAATATCAGATTTCTGTATCGGCCCACAATTTCTGTATCGGTGCAGCCCTAATTACCATATAATTGCCATCTGGGCTGGCTGCAGTGCTTACACCATCAAGCTAACAGGACATATCATCCAGTTCAGTGTGCCTAACCGAGTCCATAGTGGAGAAGAGGGTCCGTCATATTTTGTGGTAACTGTTTTTCTCATTGTGGATTTCCATGAGTGGCGTGTATGGTGACCAAGCGGAAATCTAAGTCGGTTATATAAGGTTTAATTGATGGGTCTGATGGCAGTAAGGGTTTTGCTCGCATGGTTTGATGGACGCGATGGGAGTTGTCCACTGCCACTCAGCACTTCCCTGCTTGTTTGTCCTCATTCTTTCAAAGCAATTACTCCCCCTATACCTTGAGATCCATCTTCCATTGCCATCCCTTCCTCATTTCGCTCTCTCTCTCTCTCTCTCTCTCTCTCTCTCTCTCTCTCTTTACTCTCACTGTCTTTCAGATTGAGGTCATTTAGGCAGTTGGGCGGATTGCATATACCTCCATATGTTTCTTTTTGTTCCATATTAAATCCATATTAGTAATAATCTCCAAACACAAGATACACGAATATAGCAGCATGATATATCGGCTGATGTATTGTTTTTGATGTATATCGCTGTTGTCGGAAGAAAACTTTGTATCTCCATTTTTGACATTTTTCAGTTTTTGACATAATTTGAAAATACCTGTTACCCTTTACATTCTACGCAAAGTTCATGATGAATGGACTAAAAGAAATGCCTCAAAATGACCAGGAAAAAATTCTGGTTCCATTGACTTACATTGAGAGTAAGGTAGGTTTTTTCCCTCTCCTGTAAAATTACCATTTTGGAGATACAAGGTTTGTATGGAAAATGTAATAAGGATTGAGATTGGAATTACGGATGATAATTACAACCGATGACCTGTTTAGACCTTAGATTTACTGTACTGTGCAAAAGTCCTTTATTTAATTTCCAGTTAAAACAGAAAGTACAGTTTATTCCTTAAGGAGATAATCTGCTTGAATAAGGAGGGGAAATTGTGAGAAAAATAGATGGAAAAACAGCAGTTTCCAAAATTGGGGTTCAAAAAATGATACAGATACAGACCTGGTAGACCAGTAAAACCGTCCCCATCAGATAAACCGTACTTAAAGTACAAACACGCTTCAGTTTGGAAAAATCCACAGGTGTTTCTGTCCATCCTTTCATGTGTAGCTGTCAAGAACCCTTACTGAGAAAAGGAAATAGACAAAAAAGAAGAACGTCTGCAAGTCAAACAAAGAAGCTCCTGGTATTCTCAGAACAATGGGACTGTCCGCCCCAGAGTCCAGACCTCAGCACCATGTGTTTCAGATTACTTGGATCATGAGAAGCAGTAAATGTGACCAACTTCTAAGACTGAATTTCTTCTGCAGTCCTACTCATATTGGTATCAGCCACAGGTTATTGGAATCATTTTCAGCCCATATATGTCCACGCCTAATATTAGCCGTCAGTCAGACACACAAACAGACTGTGGGGCAGTCGAGTTCGAATGAATAGTCGGTCAGTGAATAAAAAGCAGGTTTGGGGTTACTGGTATCGGAATTTGAATGGTGACATAATGTCCTGTTATTCCCTCTATTTTTCCACCCTGTCTCTCTCAACAGAAGCACCTCATGACCAGCGATTGTCCCTTTAAAGTTATTTTTTACTGCAGAAGGGTTGAATGAGTGCTGTTGTCTAATTGAAAGAATGAGTTTTATTGTGGACTGATCTGTTTTACAGTTCTGGGAGGTGATCAGTGATGAACATGGCATCGACCCAACAGGCACCTACCATGGAGACAGCGACCTGCAGCTGGACAGAATCAGTGTCTACTATAATGAGGCTACAGGTACCACCCTAGAACACATATACATGCACGTAGGCTAGAGATGTACTCACATATTCAAAATGCATCGTATAATGTGCTGCATTGACATAGCTTAGTTAAGGTTACAAAGCAATTAGGCATTGTAAGATAATAAAGTAAGTGTGACTTACTGATGTTTATGTTCAAAACGATAGACACATTCATGTCCAGTGTTAAAACCTTTTAAATGTCCAGGATCCAACATTTATAATAAGATAGTAGTAATAATAATAAGAAGAATTATTTGCAGCATTTCTTTTGATAACTTCATAGGGGGCTATAAATTGATTTTAAAAGGGTACTATAACTTTATAGGAGAGAGAAAAACTTTCTTAACCCCTGTTAATGCAGCTTTCAAGGTCATTTCGGACCTTTCCTGACGATCAATTCGTCATGAAATATTCACAGAATTCAAAGGCAGCTGCCGTAAAGGGAAAAAGTTACATTCTTTTGACAGCGTCAGTATGTTTTAAATGAATTATGATACTCCCCAGTAGAGGCATAAACACAAGCTCAGTGCAGCCAAATAAGACGCTTCTTCTAATTCATTAGGAGACATCATGAGACTCGTTTTTCTCTGGAATGTGTGCTGTTCTGAGCTGGTGTGTTCTCTTTTCCTTCTGCTTTCTCTCTCTCTGTAATGGAGGAGGTAAATACGTGCCTAGAGCTATTCTAGTGGACCTGGAACCCGGCACCATGGACTCTGTCCGCTCCGGCCCCTTCGGACAGATCTTCAGACCCGACAACTTTGTGTTTGGTGAGTCGTGGGAAGAGGGCAGTTGCTTGCAAAAGCCTATCCGCTACTACTTGTCGTTTTTAGTGGTACCATTCAGTTGGTCATGTCTAGATCAAATAATATGATGGTGAGAGACACTGTAAGGGTGGCAGGTCTCTAAATGCAGTACCTGGCATTTACCGAATGGATGACCTCATTCTATAATGTTTTCTTCACATTTCGCTTCAGGTCAGAGCGGTGCTGGTAATAACTGGGCTAAAGGCCACTACACAGAGGGAGCGGAGCTGGTAGACTCGGTGCTGGACGTAGTGCGTAAGGAGTCTGAAAGCTGCGACTGCCTGCAGGGCTTCCAGCTCACGCACTCACTGGGTGGTGGCACCGGGTCCGGCATGGGCACCCTGCTTATCAGCAAGATCCGCGAAGAATATCCCGACCGCATCATGAACACCTTCAGCGTGGTGCCTTCGCCCAAAGTGTCCGATACAGTGGTGGAGCCCTATAACGCCACCCTGTCCGTCCACCAGCTGGTAGAGAACACAGATGAAACCTACTGCATCGACAACGAAGCCCTGTACGACATCTGCTTCCGCACTCTCAAGCTAACCACACCCACTTACGGTGACCTCAACCACCTTGTTTCTGCCACGATGAGCGGCGTCACCACTTGCCTTCGCTTCCCAGGCCAGCTGAATGCTGACTTGCGCAAATTAGCCGTCAACATGGTACCCTTCCCTCGTCTCCACTTCTTTATGCCTGGTTTTGCCCCTCTGACCAGCAGGGGGAGCCAACAGTATCGTGCCCTGACCGTGCCCGAGCTTACCCAGCAAGTATTTGACGCCAAAAACATGATGGCGGCCTGTGATCCACGCCATGGCCGCTACCTGACGGTGGCCGCCGTCTTCCGTGGCCGCATGTCCATGAAGGAGGTGGATGAGCAGATGCTCAACGTCCAGAACAAGAACAGCAGCTACTTTGTGGAATGGATCCCCAACAACGTCAAGACGGCCGTCTGCGACATCCCACCCCGCGGCCTGAAGATGGCAGTCACCTTCATTGGCAACAGCACAGCCATCCAGGAGCTGTTCAAGCGCATCTCCGAGCAGTTCACCGCCATGTTCCGCCGCAAGGCCTTCTTGCACTGGTACACAGGCGAAGGCATGGATGAGATGGAGTTCACCGAGGCCGAGAGCAACATGAACGACCTGGTGTCCGAGTACCAGCAGTACCAGGATGCCACGGCTGAGGAGGAGGGCGAGTTTGAGGAGGAGGCGGAGGAGAATGCTTAAAAAGGAGAGGAGGATGGAGAAGGCGAGGGGCGTGGGAGCAGGATTTGGAAAGTAGTGCAGGGGTGTCAATGTCAGGTTAGGGATGGGACGATCTAGTATCTCAAAAAGATCACAGTATCTCAGTTTCGATATTCTCTCGGTATTGTTAAAATATACCAAAAAATTGTAAAAAGCACTAACATACTCGGAAATAATTTCATCACAGATAGACTTCTCATATTTCTTTATACCAACTATAACACAATCAAACAATGAACTACCACCACCATGCTTTTCACAAACTAGTAAGCACTTTGCTGGAAGACACTAACTGTACATGGTTATCGGAATTAAAGTTTGCGGTTTTCATTGAACCTGGTAACCGGTCCCATCCCTAACTCAAATCCTGGAGGCCCACAGCATTGCAGAGGTTAGTGGCTTCTTTTTCTAACGATAGATAGAATGGTAAACCCTGCCGTGTTGTTGCCCACTAGGACCTTCATTTGACACCCCTGGAGTAGTGGTAATGTAAGGAGGAGGAAAATGTAGCAAAGCACATACGGAACCCCACCGTAAGTGTTTGATGAAGTAGACGTTAGCACTAGACAAACGGGGCCAAAAACAACCAGAGGAATCCTGAACGAATGTTCTTGAACACAGAATGAAAAAAAAAAATCAAACGAAAGGACTCAACACTAGATAGCTTTTCATTTCCATTTTCGTTTGTCTTCTTTACTGATGTCCTCATTTCCTCCCGGATCAAAAGAGAGGTCTAGTTTCTGGTACACAGATTAAGAATCGTCCTAGATTTGTCCTAATGGAGAACGGTCATCCAAAACTAGGCTTGATCTGTGTCATGGAAACCAGCCATATAGTTTCAGCCAGTCGGATCACTGCCCCAAGGGCAGAGAGCGGTTGGTTTGGACAGACTAGATACAATCAGATGAATGAACAGATGATTGACAAATGGGGGGAAATGTTCCATGTGAAGGACATGAGTGTTCAAAGCCATTACTTTAGTTTTTCATTCCTTTTTGTTACAGTATTTGCTTGCTTTACTTTATAGACAGTCATGGAAATGTGAACCCTCTCCCTGTAGAGCAGATACAAGAATGATTGTAGAAGTTTGTATTCCTCCTAGCCGTGAGCATTGCACTACGATGGGACGACTTTGCAGAAAGACGCCATTTCAACACGTCCTCCTTCACTGAGGATTACAGTATTAAGTCAAATGGTTTACAAGGTATTGAAGGCTTTTATGGAAAGGTTGAGGGAAAGACCGGACTGTAGGAAAGTGTTCAGTCTTCCTACCTGGACGCCAACCAACGTCTGTAGGAGGAAGACATAGACCGGTATTAGTGAAACTGGAACTCATAATGGTTCATGTGGGAAAAAAACTGGAAGACTGGTTTTAGAAGGTTCAGAAGAATGTCGCTGCAAATTTGAGCGCGGAACCCGTGGAAACTTGGAACTTGCGTCCTGTATCTGAGCCCAAAGCTTTTTAAAGGTTGTTTTTACATGTTTATGTTTATCTTTTATCATTAAGTGTTAGGAATGTCCTTGCATTTTTTACAATTTCCTATTGGGAAAACAAAAACCTGAGCCTCTGGACAAAAAAATCAATAAAATGAAATTGAAACTTTAACTCTTCACTGTGTTTTTTTTCCCCCCCACATAAAATTAATACAAGCCAACATTTCAGACCTTGGGTAAGTGAATCTACAGTGAATTTGAAAGTTCAGACCATGCGTTCAACATGGTGGTGGTATGAGAGAAGACTGATTGAGGAAGGGGGGAGAACTCTGAGCACTTGGGCTGGAGTTCTGGGCAGCTTCTGCCTGTAGCTAGAAGGCCCTTTGTAGTTGTAGCAGGACTGATGAAGGACTGAGGAACTGAGAAGATGGGGTGGCGGTGGGGATCATGAACGCTTCATCAAGGGAACAGAAGGTGAGGATGTGAATTTATAGGGCGTTAGATTGGAAGAAAGAGGGGTTTCAGGCGTGTTCCTCCCACCAAACTTCAGTTATAACTGTTTAACAAAAAGTGACAATTAAGTGAATTGAGAAAAGGTTAAAACGGGCCTAAAACTAGCATTTAATGTTTTTTTTCATGTTACGTTATATTCCGTTAGCGCAGCACTGCATCCCTCAGCCTCATCAGTTTGGCAGAACTCACAATTTTGTATCCTTTTTGTGTTCTCATTCATTGTCACTACAGTAACATTTGCATTGCACAAAATACAACATACAACCATTGGGAACAACCCCAACACAGCAATTAGTAAACTGATATAAAGCCTATTAAATACAGACGTGATGTTTGGCTTCTTAGAAGTAGCATTAGCTCTCTGGCTATCTTCTGCATTTGCCATAGTGGGGGAATAAAAGCATTTCAAACTGCCTGCCCTCAAGCACTCGCATGACTATTGTGGCGCTGCTGTAGGAGGCCAATAGGTGTGTGTTTACAACAGGTGTAGTAATGGTTACATAAAGTCTTACCTTGGCTGCAGTGCACCTTTAAGCGGAGAAAGCCAAATTTAAAATACTAACCAAATTAAAACTGACATGAAAGGAACAGTTATGTGAAAAACCTCATTTGCACAGTTTAGCGCAAATGTAGTCGATCAGTCAAGACATGTTTGGTGTCTGTAGTTTGCTTGATTCGTTTTTTTGTGCTGGAGCTACGAGGCTGATATTCATCTTCTAAGCCACTTATCCTCCTCGGTCACAGGGGGTGCTGGAGCCTATCCCAGCACTCACTGGGCGGAAGGCAGGAAACACCCTGGACAGGTTGCCAGTCCATCGCAGGGCAGACATAAAGACACATACATTCACTAGACTGTGGAGAACATGCAAATTCCACACAGAAAGGACCCTGGTTACCCAGCCGGGGAGTTGAACCCAGCAGTGCAGCTAAGTGTTAAAAGATTTACCCCACCTATTCACATCAATCTGCCACCTCAAACTGTGTCAGGTTGTTAATGAATATCTCCTCCATGTACCTTTTCCACAATTATATTTTGTTTAATATGTAATGTTTTTGTATGTATAATGTTGATATATATGTTTTTAGGCCAAAATCTTATCTCAAATCTATCTTAACACAATGTCTCAGGCATCAGGCAGCATATTAATAATGTTTTAATGCAATATGTACATTTTAATGTAATTGTAGAGTCAGTAAACTCTTCCTGGATGTCTGGTTCCTATCACCACCACTGTAAACAATTCTGACACTGGAAGTTTCTCTAGAACGGAGGCTTTCACATTGAACCTCTCTGAATGACTTGTTCACATGGCAACCATCTAACTATCCTGATATTTAGAAAAATCAGCAGAATTCCCCTTTAACCAATCCTAATCTAGTCACATAGCTAACTGCTGGTGATGGTGATAAACCTGAGACTTCTAAACCCTGAGTAGCAGAGAGCTGATGTGAATGAGTCCTTGCAGAGCTGTGTTCCAGCTACTTTGCATACCTTGCATAGCTGTTAATAAACCACAGATATGTCCAAGTATCAGGTAAGTGGTGATTAGACTGTGCATTGGACACATATCTGATATGTAATAATAGAAAATCAGCACTTTTGCATTCAGTGTCTTAATAAGCTGAGTTACACCGATCAGCCATAACATTAAAACCATCCTTGTTTCTACGCTCATTGTCCATCTTATCAGCTCCACTTACTATATAGGTGCACTTTGTAGTTCTACAGTTACAGACTGTAGTCCATCTGTTTCTCTGCATACTCTGTTTTTAAACACTGTGTCCACTCACTGTCCACTCTATTAGACACTCCTACCTTGTCAGTCCACCTTGTAGATGTTAAGCCAGAGACGATAGCTCATCTGCTGCTGCACAGTTTGTGTTGGTCATCCTCTAGTCCTTCATCAGTGGTCACAGGACGCTGCCCACAGGATGCTGTTGGCTGGATATTCTTGATTCTCAGTCCAGCAGTGACACTGAGGTGTTTAAAAACTCCAGCAGCACTGCTGTGTCTGATCCACTCAGACCAGTGCAACACACACTAACACACCACCACCACGTCAGTGTTACTGCAGTGCTGAGAATGATCCACCACCCAAATAGTACCTTCTCTGTGGGGGTCCATGGGGGTCCTGACCACTGAAGAACAGGGTAACAAAGTATGCAGAGAAACAGATGGACTACAGTCTGTGAACTACAAAGTGCTCCTATGTGGTCAGTGGAGCTGGCAAGATGGACAATGAGTGTAGAAACAAGGATGGTTTTAATGCTATGGCTGATCGGTGTGTGTGTGGCTGAAATAGTGGACGATTATTAAAGTTGGACACACCCCTTTAAGGGGAAAGGAAAACGCGCGGGGAAAATTTTAACAAAGTAGAACGTGTTTCATATACTGTCCAATCAAAAGGCGTAAAGCGCTAAGTGACGTGAAACACGGCCAATCGACATGGAGGATTTTGTAGCGGTTACCAAAGCAACCAATCAGCAGCGGCGTTTACGCGCAGGGCGGGCCCCGGTGTTCAGGAAGTTTGTTGTGGCGATCGGAGCTGAGGGGTGAAGTATGTTATGTTTTCATCAAATGAAGCGATGCCGCGCGCGTTTATGATGCAGATCAATAAGTGTTCAAATGTAAATCCGCTGCGTGTCGCTGCGTCTTTGTTAACCGCCTAGGTTTGATTTCTCAAGCGCTCGGATTTGGTTTAGCAGGTAGCGTGTATTGAAGCTAAGTAGCTCTCCTGTTTAGCAGCTGCAAAACCTTCATAATGTTTATGATCATAACTTAATGCACCGCATCAGAGAGCTGAATGAACTCTAAACGCAAAATAAACTACATTAGCATCGGTTACTGTTCAGTTTCCCGGCCTGGGCGCGAAGCTGAAGTTGGTTTCTTTTTCGACTTTTCCGTTCCACCTTAAATGGGGCAGCAGGTACACTGTGGAGCACAGAGGCGCCAGAATGTAACTACTGTACTGTTTAAGGTGGAACGTGACAATGAAAGTAGAAGCCAACTTCAGCTTCGTTGCCTGTTCTCTGCTTATGTACACAGTTAAAAAAGCTGGTTCTTTAGTAATGGGAATGGTTCTATTCAGAACCATGAATTATATCTAGAACCATTTCGTGCTTAAATGGTTCTGTGCATGGTGAAATGGTTCTTCAGATTGATGGAGAAATTGTTGCATATGAGTCTGTGTAAAACCTTTTTGAAAATGCACCAAAAAGGGTTCCTCTATTGTTACGAGCTTGACATCATAACAGCAGAAGAACCATTGTTGGTGCTATCTAGAACCATATAACATGTTTTCCATCAAACTGAAGAACCATTTCACCATACAAAGAACCACTGAAGTATGCAGATGGTTCTTAATAGAAGCTTCGTTGCCCGTTCTCTGTTTAGGTGCACACTTAGAAAGATGGTTCTTCAAGGGTTCTTTAGTAATGAGAATAGTTCCATTTAGAATCATGAGTTCTATATAGAACAATTTCAGGCTTAAATGGTTCTTTGCATGGTGAAATGGTTCTTTAGATTGATGGAGAATGTGTTGTATGTGGTTCTATATAGCACCAACAAGGGTTCTTCTATTGTTGCAAACTTGACATGATAACAATAGAAGAACCCTTGTTGGTGCTATATAGAACCATGTACAACATGTTCTCCATCAGTCTGAAGAACCATTTCACCATGCAAAGAACCATTTTAGTATGCTAATGGTTTTTAATAGAAGGTTCGTTGCCCGTTCTCTGCTTAGGTACACACTTAGAAAGATGGTTCTTCAAGGGTTCTTTAGTAATGGGAATAGTTCTATTTAGAATTGTGCGTTCTATATAGAACCATTTCTTGCTTTAATGGTTCTTTGCATGGTGAAAGGATTCTTCAGTTTGATGGAGAATGTGTTGTTTATGGTTCTATATAGAACCTTTTTCAAAATGGTTTTATATAGCACCAAAAAGGGTTCTTCTATTGTTACAAACTTGACATTGTAACAGTAGAGGAACCATTGTTGGTGCTGTATAGAACCATATACAACATGTTCTCCATCAAGCCGAAGAACCATTTAAGAACCACACTTAAAAAGGTAGTTATTCAAGGGTTCTTCAGTAAAGGGAATGGTTCTTTTCAGAACCATGAGTTCTATATAGAACAATTTCATGCTTAAACAGTTCTTTGCATGGTTGTTCTTCAGATTGATGAAGAATGTGTTGTTAATGGTTCTATATACCACCAACAATGGTTCTTCTACTGTTTGATATCATTACAATAGAAGAACCCTTGTTGGTGCTATACAGAACCATGTACAACATGTCCTCCATCAATCTGAAGAACAATTTCACCATGCAGAGAACCATTTAAGTATGAAAATGGTTCTGAATAGAAGCTTCGTTGCCCGTTCTCTGCTTAGGTACACACTTAAAAAGATGGTTCTTCAAGGGTTCTTTCGTAATGAGAATAGTTCTGTTTAGAATCATGAGTTCTATATAGAACAATTTCAGGCTTAAATGGTTCTTTGCATGGTGAAATGGTTCTTTAGATTGATAGAGAATGTGTTGTATGTGGTTCTATATGGCACCAACAAGGGTTCTTCTATTGTTGCAAACTTGACATGATAACAGTAGAAGAACCCTTGTTGGTGCTATATAGAACCATGTACAACACATTCTCCATCAATCTGAAGAACGATTTCACCATGCAAAGAAGTTCTTTTTTTCATATTTAAGTATGAAATGGTTCTATATAGAACCCATGGTAAACATCCTTTGAAGAACCATCTTTTTTTAAGTGTGCATTAAAGACTTTACAGTTTCCATCCATTTCAGTCCATTTGTAAAGTATCACCTACGTACAGTTTGTGCAAGACGTCTTCAAAAGCTTCTAAGATGTTCCACTGATGTTCTTTGGGTCATCTTACCCCGTCAGCCTCCTCAGGTACAGGTCCGCATGGATGCGACCCAGCAGATAGATGACTCCTTCTGTGAAGATGACACGGATGAAGAAAAGGAACCGTCAGGAGAAAAGAAGGAAAGAGAACCGCTGGCTGCATTGAAAGTGTTCAAGAACAATTACATCCCAGAAACAGGTGAGCGTCCAAACTACAGTGAGCCCAATACAAATGTATCCTTTGCTAGAGCACAGAACTGTAGTGTGACCAGATATGGTCAAATAAGCGTCAGGCGTATAGCTGGCGTCATGCATATATAATGTCGCGACCAAGGGCTGTCCCTTTTGTCCAGGGTCTGGACACTGGACACTTAAGTATCTCTAATATGTTCTGTGCTGTTGCCCTAATAACTGTCTGTAGTCTAAGTGCTTTAAAAGAATTAAAAGAATCGAAAAATATCAACAAAGAAATGAAAAAAGGATAAAAAGGAATAACAAAAAGACTTCAGCTGCTGAGTTCTTGTGGAAGGAAGGAAAAGGCCTTCGCTGCGTCCCAATTGCGCACTTAATACTAATACTAGTGTTGGAGTATGTAGTATGTAGTATAGTCACAAGTGTCAATGTTGAGTATACTCAAAAATCCACAATGCATACTTAGAACCAGTCGATTTTTGAGTGTAGTAATGATGGACACTCTTCACGGAAAGGGAGGAGCTTCTCGCGTCTGGAAAATTCTGAAAAAAATGGCGGACGGTGACGCGAGAGCAGCTGCCGTGGCAGCGCGACCAGAAATGGTGTATGAATTTGAGCTCATCCCAAATTTGTAAAACATTCTGTAAAAAAACGAGTTTTACTTACTAATGTTTTCATTTGTTAGCGTTTCTGTAAGAAACCTGTTTGAACGCACGTTAATTTGTTCAGTCTAGCTTGCTATGATGTGATGTGCGTTGTCATAGCAACGGTTCGTCACTCCATGTTAGTAAGAATGGCGTAGTATGTTAATATTTTGTGTACTAACCCGTCGAGCTCATACTATTAAGATTAGTACGCTGTGTATACTGTATAGTATTAGTGTGTGGTGCACAATTGGGACGCAGCCCTTCTCTTTATTGAGCATGAAGTGGCAAGATGGTTCCCGGTCAGCCACAGAGCGAATACCACCTCGAGACATCCCTTTTCATTGCCCTTTGGGGTGATGAGGTAATCACCCCACCCCTTTTTACACAATTCCATACGATTTTAGTCCCCATTATATCCAAACTTTACACCTTTTTTGGTAACCCTTAAAACCAAACGCCTCTGATGTCCTTTTTTTAAAAAAACACTCTGACCAGCCGTACCGGGCTCTTCCGTCCTTACAGGGCCGTCTTACACAACTTCTCCACATAAGTTCAGGAGTTCACTATAATTTATACTGTCATCTGGTACAGTTCCCTTTTGTGAGTTCGAGAGTTCATGCAGTCTATAGCCTGTTCCCCAATGTTACCTTTTTAGGAAACGCTCTAGTTAGCCAATATTTAGTTTATTGATTATTAATCAGGGAATGTTTTATTAAATCTTTCCCATCAATAACTACATATTGTTTGAGAGAGAACCAAAATCAAACCTGTTCTGTGGTGTTTGGCTAAGCTAACGATAGCTTAGTTAGCAGGCCAAACATGCCACAAAGCACAGCGCAGGCTTGGTTTTAGCTAACTGAAGCAAAATGACAGCCGTTTAAAGGACGTCTGTGCTGGTGTTAGAGTGAAAGGCAAAAAGAAGCTCGTTAGCCGTCGCTGAGTTGCTATCACGCTCTGACTTCTCCCTCTTTCTACCGGTGCCACTTAGCAGTGAGCTCCCTCACCACCAATCAGTGACCCCTCTAAAATATAAATGTGTTTATTTAGCTGTTCAGAATTGGAATAAAAAAATCTGACTAATTTAAAATACCTCCATCGCTTTGAAATACCATGATATACCTTATTAGCATTACACCGCCTAACCCTAGTCATAGGGCTGTTTCTTCTAAAAGTGCCTAATAAACATAACGTTTGAAAGCTTAGGTAGATTTCTTTCTAGCTAATTATCTTCAGTTACCTCCAGTTAAACTTGATTTGATTAGTGATTACAAGTGTGCATGTGTTTTATCAGAGCCAGTTTATGAGGAGTCTGGCCTCTTCCTATTTCTCCCGTTATATCAAAACATAACTGCAAAACGCCAGAGGGCGTTTAAATAGTTTCTGATCACTCGCCCAGAACTTTCCTTTAGTTTTAGAACGTAGAGCGATGTTTTATGCTGTTTTGTGTTTAGAAAATGAATGTATTATTTTATATTAAAGATGTTGAAGCATTTCTAAACCATTTTGCTCAAATGCTCCATCTTAACCCATTCATTTTGGACTCACTCAGGAGACCTTGCTGAGAGTAACTCTCCTCTCTACAAGTTCTCTGATTTTATGGGCATCAGTGTGCACAACACGCATTCTGCTCAGTGTTCCAGTTAGGAAAAGAGCATTCTCAGCAGAAATTCATAATAAATAAACAAATTCTGAGAATAAGCCTGGAAACCTATAACAGAGCTGCAATACAGGACTGTGTCATGAAAAAATGTACAGGCATTTTAAGTTTCTTAACTCTCTCTCTCCAACATATCCACAGAGGTGCCCCTCTACCAAGGAGAGAACGTTTTGGGCCGTGATCCCGCCTCTTGCTCCTTTCCGCTACAGGCCCGTTCCATATCCAGCCGCCATGCCGTCATCTCCATCACCTTCTTCCACGATAACAACCGTCGCCTCAGTGACGGGGACACCATGGAAGCGCTGCTGTGGGACCTGGGCAGCTTGAACGGCACCAGGAAGGGCCGGATTAAACTGACCCCTCATGTGCGTTATGCTCTGACGGAGGGGGACAGCGTGGTGCTCGCTGACCTGCCCTGCCAATACATCAGCCTTAAACATGCAGAAAGAAACGCACACACGGCCACAGCGAAGGAGAAGGGTCCGTCACCCGCCAAGAGTGGCTCAGAAGGAGGGATGGGCAGAGGAGTGGAGAACGGGGGGAAGAGGAGCGCGTTACCACCTGTGCCATTATGGGAGGATAAAGAGGCAAATCTTCAGTCACCTCAGAAGACCCCCAAAGAGCCAGAGAGGACGCTGGTGCCCGAGTCTGACTACGACTCAGATGGAGAGCAGGGTGGACGGAGAGAGAGGAGGAGGTTTCTGGGTAGGTGGCTGGACTGATTTGGGTAAAATTTCTACTCATTCTGCTAATTAGGCCACTTTTATTACATAGTCATCTGGGGCCGGAGTCACAGAAGTGTCTTAAGAAAGAAAATATTCTGAAATAATTGAACTAAATTGTTATTTTTTTCATCTCAAGACTTTTCTTAACTTTTCTCTTAAGAACATTTATGATAACAAGTGGTACTGTTGAAAAAGAAAGTATTTTCTTAACAAAGCAGACCACTTAAACTGTAACTTCTAATGAGTTTTACAACATATCGCTGCTGTCGGAACAAAACCTTGTTATCTCCAAAATGGCAACTTTACTTTCTTTACTTTTAATGTAAGTCAATGGAACCAGAACTTTTTCGGAGTAATTTTGGGCCGCTTCTTTTGGTCCATTCATCATGAAATTTACACACAATGTAAAGGACAACAGGTATTTTCAAATTATGTCAAAAACTGAAAAATGCCAAAAATGGAGATACAAGGTTTTGTCAGCAGCGATATAATTGTTAAAGCAAGATTTCCACCACCATTGCAGCCATGTTTGCTGAAGTTTTTCAAACATGTGGTTTGATTTTGTTTTACCTTCAATTTGCTGTCCTTCAGTGCTAATGGGCTTAAACTCGATAACCAGTTAATTGAAATTCGGTATAATTTCTGCTAATCTGTAAAGTGTCACACAGTATTAATGGTGTGCATGATAAATAACCTACAGTTTATGCACTAAAACAATCTAGAATTTCTTAATAAAATTAATAAAATAAATAAGATGTTTTAAACAGAATATTTGCATATTTGCATTTAAGAACACTGGGCCTTATTCACCAATATCTTCCTAAGTTTTTTTCATAAATTTGTTCTTGAGAAAGTTCCTTAGAAGATTCATGACGTGTTCTTGCCTTTGTGCTCTCGAGTTCGTGTAGTTTCTGTTCTTATCTAAGAACAAATCCCAAATAAGAAAACTTCGATAAATGTCAGAATGTTCATAAAAACTACCTGAGTTTTAAGAAGAAATTTCTTCTTAATGTTGGTGAATGAGGCCCATTCATATGAACTTCTTAGTGTTTGTCTTAAGATCCTTTACAAGTAAACACAATCCTTTTAACTGTATTCACACATAGTAGCGGGCTGTCTCTGAACTCTTCTCTTTGTCTCTGTCCCTTTAATTTATATCCTCAGACTCGGCATCCTCAGACCTGTCAAGCCCCACTTGTTCGACATTCCTGACGCCAGCAAACAAAGTCATTCCAGAGAGGTACTCTGCCAAAAACCGCAAATGGGAGTGGTGTGCACTTTCGAATTTACCTTGGGCCTTAGGGGCTGGCATTAAAGCTCTGTCTGTGTCTGTTTCATAGACTTTAAAGCAATAGTTTGAAGAGAAAAATCACAAATAGACTTGCTTATGTTTTCCTGATACTGTGTGACATACTTAAGCAATCGAACACGAGAGGGAGTGTGTTATCGCGAAATAACATCACGGCTGTGTCCGAAACTGTCATCACCACTGAGCAGCTTTTCAGTCGGCAGCTATGACAGAAGAACAGCTAAACAACCTGGAATCAGCCAGAAATGAACCTAATACCATTCGCCAAACGTGTAGTCTGATCTTCAGAGTCTGACCAAATCAGACTGAACCATAAAACTGCCGCAATATCAAGTTCAGCTCAGTTTTGTCAGTTTTTGCCAGATCAGTATTAATGTTGTTTTGTTCCAGCCAGTCTGTAAAGCATCTTACAGCCCATTTAGTTTGGCGAATGGTGTTGGGTTCATTTCTGGCTGATTCCAGGTTGTTTAGCTGTTCTTCTGTCACAGCTGCCGACTGAAAAGCTGCTCAGTGGTGATGACAGTTTGGGAATTTAGTGTAGTCTCATCTTCAGAGTCTGACCAAATTGGCTGTCGGTCAAATGTGATCTTAAAAGTGTCCATTTTCTGTTTGTGGCAAAGTAAGAAGTAAAAACGTTCAAATGGCTCGAGCGTCTCCTACAGCTGTCGAAGTCGTTGCTTAGCAACGGCGTCTCAGCGGAGTGATACAGTGTTTGTGAAAAACCTGTGATGTTATGGTGAAATAACAGCACAGTTAGAACGCTTCTCAACCAATCAGCTTGCGTGGCCGAAACTAACTGTTGTATAATGTTGTGTATAAAGTTGGAAAAAAGACCCAGCATAGCTAAAAACATTAGCAGTTGTGTCTTGGAGGCAAGTTTTGTCCATAGTTTTGATGCTAATCGGTGAAATATAAGCTTCCATTACTTGTTACCTCCATTAACCTTGTAGCTCCAGAGTAAAACTGAAGTAGCAACCACTGCAGCAGCTTGACATTTCGTTGCTGTCCAGTGAAAACCATGTCTCCCCATTTTTGTCGATTTTATTTTTCTACATCATTCCAACACACTTTACGTTGTGTGAAAACTTTATCATGAATGGACCGATAAAATCACTTGGAATAAAATCTCTTTACATTAACTTACATTGAAAAGTAAGAGTGTTTTTGCCTTCTCCTGTAAAGTTGCTACTTTGGAAATACTTGTTTTTCTTTGGACAGCGACAGTTTGCATTGAGGGGGGAATCTTGTGAAACTGGGGAAGTATTGCTCTAAAGTATTTTGTAATACATGTTGTGTTTTCTGTATTATATATATATATATATATATATATATATATATATATATATATATATATATATATATATTTGAATAGCTGTCCTGTATTTACCTCATGGCTTAAGAGAATTTCATGTAATCTTTCCCCAGTGAGGACGAAAGCTCGATCACCCCATCCTCGGCTGGGATGGGCAGATTTATAAAGAAAGAGAACCACAGTGAAGCCTCCTCAGACTCCCTCAAACCTGCCCTGCTGAACTTCAACATGGACAGTGACACAGATGGGGAGGAAGAGGATGCAGAGGTGAGGAACAGAAAGCCTGAAGTTAAGCCTGCTAACCCACCACAAGTGGACCCAGTTGATCCAGCCTGTCTCCATATGGACAGCGATACTGATGTAGAGGATGAGGAGATGGAGAAAACCAAAGGTCCAGAGACTGCAGCTGGAGTCGCACAAAAGGACATGGCTACTCCAGCTGGTCACGCCATGGACAGCGATACAGATGTCGAGGAGAATGAGCCTCGTAGAACTGAAACCAGTCTGCATTCTGGAAGCAAAGAACAGAAGACGTCCTCAGAATTCCACATGGATAGTGACACGGACGTTGAAGATGAGGACGTTCCCATGATGACAAAGCCGGAGAGGCCGGTGTCCGTACCCACAGCCAATCCTGTAGCAGAATTCCATATGGACAGCGACACTGATGCAGAAGTAGAGGAGAAGCCAACAGAAGCAATTAAGCTAATCTCAGACAGTGATACTGATGATGACGATCCATTCAAACCTACAAAGGGCAGAACTATTGAGAATGTGAAGGCTCTACAGGCCAAAACGGTGCAGCCTGACTCCAACAGTGACACAGATATGGAGGATGACATCACCGCAGCCAACTCTAAGCCACGTAAAGACACTGGGATTGCCCCAGATGCTCACTGTGAAAGTCCAGCTCAGGTCCAGCCTCCTGCTGAAAAAGCGCAGGGTGAATTCAGGATGGACAGCGATACGGATGTGGAGGAAGAAGAGGAGAAGCTTGAGGAGAGGGGTTCAGGAACAGCAGCAGAGGCTGTCCAGTCTTCTACACCAAGAGGAGCAGGTGGGTTTACTTTACTGTATTTACACTGTAAATAACTGTCACTCTTTGTTTAGCTCTGTATAAATGAAAAAACTTTCATGTGTTTGTGTTTCTGTGCTTTCTCCAGGTTTGTCCGAAGAGGATATGGAAACCCAAGCATTCGTCAGTCCGTCTCAGCCATTTAAACGTGAGTCGTTCTTTCTGACTTTTTCGGTTGTGGTCAAGTACGCCGTATGCCCCTGCTTCTCCAGCATTTCCAAAATTCAGTACACTCTCAGAAATAAAGGTAGTAAACTGTCACTGGGGCAGGACCCCTCTTGTAACTGGGGTGGGACCCTCAAGGGTACATCTCAGTACCTTTAGTCAGGGAACATAACTGGACCATAATCCACTGAAATGATATTGTCTAAGTTGTACTGCCTCCACACACCCCGTCTCGTCTCCAGGACTTTTATATTATTCTTCTGGTTTAAAACAGAGAACTGGTCCCTCTTTGCTGCACTAACAGCCTTTACTTTTCCGGGAAGGCTTTTCACTGAATGTTGGAAAATTCCTCCTTTGCAGTAAAATAAAGCTCTGCTGATCGTTCAACACAGTTTTAACAATAAATGGTCTTAAACACGAGTTAATGTAGCCTATATCTGCTAATTCACCCTTTAACCCTGAAGATTGGTGTGCAGACTGCTGGTCACCATAGGAACACAGACAACAGTCTCGCCTAGCTAGTAACTAGCTAGACGAACATCGATAATTTGGAGACGGATGGACTTATTTGCGTTTATAAGTTCTCAGCTGGAGAATCATCTGGTTTCCTGATAAGCTTCGGGAAGCTGAAGTCAGTTTCTCGTTCGGCAGCTTCTTGTTTGAATTTTCCCGTTCCACCTTAAATGTTGCTGCAGCTACATTCTGAAAACTGAACATTGAGAGACGTTTTACAAGAAACTGTTTTACTTTTGTGGAAACGTTTCCTGCCGGAGATGCGAGAAAAGTAGCTATAGCTGAGCTAAAGCTTAAAGCAGAGCAAAGTAAGTCTGCGTTGTCATTTATATTTGTTAGCCTATAATAGTACGTTAGCACATGCTGAGACATATTTACAGCCAAGATGGTAAAATGGACATATAATATTGTGGCTCCCAAGGTGGTTTGATTTTTGTTGAAAGAACAAAATGGCGCTTCTTAACATTTGGGTTGTGACCCCTGGCTTATGGTAATCTTAGGCTTGTATGTAGCTGTTCCACTAAATCTCTTTCTTCTGTTAAAGTACTTCTGTAGCTATGCACATGAAACTGAGTAGCTCTTTCAGCAGTGGACATGCATGAAAGTAGCAACATTCACTCATAAAAGTGGTGACTGGAAACCTTTGGAAACACAATGTCCAGTTGATTTTTGACTGCACTTACTCTCTCTCTCTCTCTCTCTCTCTCTCTCTCTCTCTCTCTCTCTCTCTCTCTCTCTCTCTCAGGGCCAGCTCTCCCCTCTCTCCTCCGATCCTCTGTCTCCCCTGGAAGCCGCAGTCAGGACAGCGATGACTTCACTGTGGCCGAGACTCAGTCCTTCGTGTCTGATGCTCTCGCTGCAGACGCCACTCTGGATGAGACGCAGCAGTCACTGAGGGGCTGTGGAGCTTCTCCCTTCCAGCTGGGCCTCTCTGACAGCAGCCACCAACAGCCAGATCCTGAAGAGCATGCTGGGGCTTTGGACCCATCCGAAGATGACTGGACCCTACAGCCTACCCAACCATATGGTATCTTTAACTATTTTACTGTGCTGTTCAAAGACTGGAAAGTAGGGCTTCATCTCTCAGTTTATTTACATGAATGGAAATTAAGAGATTGGTCAACCCCGTTTTGTTCAACATTCCTCACAGTCTGGCAAAGTCATTCCAGAATAGAGCACATGTGAACATAATGTGTTGATAAAAAAAAAAAATAGACCGACAACTAGAGATGACGCCTTAGTTTTCCACAACTTGCTTAGTAATATTAAATAATACATGAATTTAATATTCTACTCTCCTTTAAACAATAGATTACTGTAGGTTACTAATAAGCCATTAGGCTGCAGTAGAGCAAATTCCCCAGTGGCTGTGGTTTCCCTGAGTGCAACATACTGTAAACTTTCCATAAAGCTGAAGTGTCTCAGTGCCTTCAGATGAGTGATATTATTCGAATATAATACTTCATGGCTTTCCACAGGCAATTATCGCTGAATTTCAGGGCACCTCCATGACAATGACGAAAAAAAACCTCACTGTTTGTAATATGCAAAGCATGTGACTTTGGAAGTCGCTGCTATTAGCACACGCCACTTTTTGGTGCATCATTTAAAGGGAAGAAAAAGCCATGAACCCACACCAGCAGGATCTCACAAATGCACATGCTTGCAGTCACAACTTTCAAAGCGAGAGGTAAAATAACTTCCAAAAAATGTTGTTATTCACTATTATATTATGTGGTTTTAATAAAAGAAATGATCTAAATTATCTAAAGATATCAGCTGCAGCAGACTGTGTGTTTATGTATATTTGCTGGGGGGAGCTGGGAGGCAAGACAGTTGATAAATTGATAATCCAGATTTTTTAAACAAGAAAATACCATGCTAATTATTTTTAAATAGCTAGTATCTAGTGACACAGTTCATCAACTACTATAAGATAAATTGATGTTTCGAACGATCATGCACTCTGCTGTGTCCTCTTAAACAGTACAAGCCATATCACCCCCTACAGTTCCTGTAGTGTACTGCAACCTGTCAGATTGACCATATGGATCATATGAACAGTGCATTTGCTGTCAAGTAAACAGTTTGTTGACTTTTTTTTTGTGCTCACCGTTTCACGTTTAAATAATGGATACTGCTAACAACCTGTATGCATTTTCTTTCTTAGTCATAATTAATCCATTTGCTCTCTAGCGTGTATAATTCATATAATACACAGCCTTTTTATCACTTGACTGCCTCCTCAAATGGCACCTACTTATGTTTCCTTAACTAATCCTTCCTTGATATTACTGCTATTGTTTCACAGCTGTGAAGAATTTACAAGGCAAAGGAGCCAGTACTGAAGCCAGGCAGAGGCAGCTGGATCTGGAGGCTACACAAGCCTACGCAGTCGACATTGATAATGAGGAGGAGCAGACCCAGCCACTGAAAGAAGGAAATGATGACAGTGACACTAACGGGGTGCCTGACACTGGTGACAGAAGAGGAAGGGTAGTGGACGATGATGGGGAGGTGCTGGATTCGCATCCCTCCACTGCAGACACTCTGATCCTGGTCAGGAGCCCAAAACCAGAGGAGCAGACCCAAGCTTATGCTCTCTTTACTGCCCAAACTCTGCCACTTAATGAGGAGGAGGAAGAAGAAGAAGAGTTCAGCAGCGGACCTGGGCCAAGTGGGAGACTCTGCAAACGAAGGCAGATAGATGAAGAGCAAACACAGCCTATAGATCCTGGTGCTAAAACCCAGGTTGCCGTTGCTGAAACACTGCCTATGTTTGAGGAAGAGGAGGCGCAGGAGGAAGAGGACAGTACTGAAACCATGTCCAGCAGGAGATCCCTTAGGGGAGGAAAAGCTGAGGAAACGCAGCCTATTGAGCCTGGCGCTAGTACCCATGTTGCTGTTGCGGAAACACAGCCTGTGGGTGAAAATGAGAAGGAAGAACAGAGTGAAACTACGTTGGACAGTAAACCCCGTAGAGGGAGAAAGGTTGCTAAAGCTGAGCCAACACAGCCTCTTGAGCTGGATTCTAACACTGATGTTACTGTTGCTGAAACACAGCCACTGGAGGGTGATGAGGAGGAAGGTGAGGAAGAGCAACAAAGTGAAATCACATCTAGCAGAAGATCCCGTAGGGGGAGAAAGGTTGCTAAAGTTGAGGAAACCCAGCCTCTTGAGCCTGATGCTACCGCCCATGTTGCTATTGAGGAAACTCAGCCAATGTGTGAGGATGAAGAGGAACATGAGGAAGAACAGAGTGAAATCACTTCTAGCAGAAGATCCCGTAGGGGGGGAAAGGCTGCCAAAATTGAGGAAACCCAGCCTCTTGACCCTGATGGTAGCACCCATGTTGCTATTGCTGAAACACAGCCGGTGGGTGAAGATGAGGAAGAAGGACAGAGTGAAACTACGCTGGACAGTAAACCCCGCAGAGGAACAAAGGTTGCTGAAGCTGAGCCAACACAGCCTCTTGAGCTGGATTCTAACACTGATGTTACTATTGCTGAAACACAGCCACTGGGTGACGATGAGGAGGAAGGTGAAGAAGAGCAACAAAGTGCAATCACATCTAGAAGATCCCGTAGGGGGAGAAAGGCTGCCAAAATTGAGGAAACCCAGCCTCTTGAGCCTGATGCTACCGCCCATGTTGCTAAAGCTGAGGCACTGGGTGAGGATGAGGAGGCACATGATGAAGAGCAACAGGGTGGATCCAGGAGACCCCGCAGGGGGAGAAAAACTGCTAAAGCTGAGCCAACGCGGCCTCCCAAGTCTGATGCCAGCACCCGAACTGCTACTACTGAAACTCTGGATGGAGAAGAGGAGGCGCAGGAGGAAGAGCAGCAAGCTAGCAAGAGAAGCCTCAGGGGAAAAGGGAGAGGAGTGTCTGGTAAGGGCAGAGGAAGAGCTACTGCAGAGAAAGAGGGAAAGAGGAAAAGAGGAAGAGCCGTGTCAGAGGAAGAGGAGGACAGCGAAGAGGAGACGGATGGAGGGAGGAAGGGAGGAGGGAGAAAAAGCACAAGACAGAAGTCTAAAGAGCAGGAAGACAGGGACAAGCTGGAGGAGGAGAAAGAAAGGGAGACCCAAGAGGAAAGGAGAGAGGAGCGAGAGCAGAAAGAACAAGAAGAGAGGGAATGTTTAGAGAGGGAGAGAGTGGAGCATGAAGAAAGAGAGCTGGCTGAAAGGTTGGAGCAAGAGAGGAAGGAAAATGAAGAAAGAGGGCGGTTGAAAAAGGAAGAAGAGGAGAGGGAGAGGAAAGAAAAAGAGGAAAATCAGAGCAGAGAGAGAAAAAGAAAGGAAGAAGAGGCAAGAGAGAAGCTTGAAAAGGAGAGGAAGGAAAGAGAAGAGAGGGAGAGATTAGAAAAAGAAGAGAAAGACAGATTAGAGAGAGAGAGGAAGGAAAGGGAAGAGAAGGAGAGATTAGAAAAGGAGAAGAGGGAAAGGGAGGAGAAGGAGAGATTGGAAAAGGAGAAGAGGGAAAGAGAAGAACTTGAACAAAGACTTGAAAAAGAAAGGAGTGAACAGGAAGAAAAAGACAGATTAGAGAGGGAACAAAGGGAGCGAGAAGAGAAGGAACAAATTGAAAAAGAAGTGAGAGAAAAGGAAGACAGAGAACAAGAGGAGAAAGAGAAGAAAAAGAAAGAAAAAGGGGACAAAGATGGAGCGGAAAAGGAAAGAGGACGACTACAGGGAAAGCGTCGAGCGGGGCTGGTGAGGAAAGAAAAAGGAAAAAAGGAGGATGAAGAAGAAGAAGACATAGATGGACAGAGTGAGAATTCCAAAAGAAGGATGCTGGAAAAGGAAAAGGACACAGTAGAGACGGAAAAACAAGAACATGAAGGTGGGAAGGGTAAAAAGAAAGTGCAAGAAAAAGCAGAAAGTGAAGCGAAACCGGGTAGAGGTAGACGACCTACCAGGAAATCCACAGCGCCCCCTGCTGCCGCAGAGGAATCCGTGTCGGTAGATGTCCCGGCCAAAAGGACACGTTCACGTTCAAATTCCTCCAACTCAGTCGGTTCAGAGCAGTCTACGTCCACCCTGGATGACCAGACCAGAGGCCAAGGCCGAGGAAGGGGCAGAGGGAGGAAACCAGCCGAAGAAGTGGTCGATAACAGCAGGCCGTCAGGTCGAAGGAAAACCGCCACTGCAGCATCTACCGAGACGGAGCGGGATTCTGGTGCTCGTGTTCGCTCTTGCTCCAACTCCAGAAGCTCGGAGAGATCCAGCAGCAGCGCTGGAATCGGAACAAAGGATAAAGGAGGAAAAGGGAGGAAGAGTGTGAAAGTGGAAAAGCAAGAAGAAGGTCAACAAGGTTCAGCAGCTGCTGGACGTGGGAGGGGAAGAGGCGGTAAACGACTGGAGGCAGGCGATGTTAAAGTGGAGGCAACTGCAGAGGCCCACCGGGAGAAGGAGAGATCAGAGGCAGTGTCTGTCAATGAGGAAAGTGTTATAAGCCAAACCCCCAGCAGAGGGCGCAAGAGAGGTGCTGATACCACTGTGCTGGCAGCAGAAACGCCCCAGCCCACTCCTAAAACCCCTCGGCGGTCGGTAGCCGGTCCGACCCACAAGGTAGAAACACATAAACACCCCCCACACACACACCCCCACACCCCATATGTAGTCTGTTAGCTAAGAAGCTAATAGCCACCCTTTAGGATCATGCTAACTGCATACCTAATTCATTACACACTTACCTCAATGTCAAGTTGTATATATTTATGTGAGGGAGCTTTTGGAGGTAGACGTCTGGTTCCTATCACCATCACTGTGAACAGTTCTGACTGTAAGTTTATCTAGAACAGAGCATTTTACACCAAACCACTCTGAATGACTTTGTTGACATGTTAACCATTAGATTATGTAGAAATTTTGAAAAATTGGTGGAGTTCCCCATGTTCTGGCTGATTGACTACATTTGGGGTGAGAGGGAAACTGCAAACTTCCTCCTCATGTGCAAATTGTAACAACACACTGATGCTTTCAGAATCACAGACGTCTCTCCGTTTCAGGTCTTGTTTACAGGAGTGGTGGACGAGGATGGGGAGAAGGTGCTGGTGCGTTTGGGTGGTGGGCTGGCGAAGGGCGTGGGTGATATGACTCACCTAGTGACGGATAAAGTCCGCCGCACCGTCAAGTTCCTGTGTGCTGTGGCCAGAGGAGTGCCCATCGTCACCCAAGACTGGCTGACCAAGGTGAGAGATTTTCACATCTAATAATGTAATGAGAAACACATCTGCAGCATAAAGGTATGGATGTATTGTTTGTACTGAAATACACTGATCAGGCATAACGTTATGAGCACCTCCTTGTTTCTACGCTCATTGTCCATTTTATCAGCTCCACTTACCATATAGGAGCACTTTGTAGTTCTACAGTTACAGACTGTAGTCCATCTGTTTCTCTGCATACTTTGTTACCCTGTTCTTCAGTGGTCAGGACCCCCATGGACCCTCACAGAGCAGGTACTATTTGGGTGGTGGGTCATTCTCAGCACTGCAGTGACACTGACATGGTGGTGGTGTGTTAGTGTGTGTTGCGCTGGTCTGAGTGGATCAGACACAGCAGTGCTGCTGGAGCTTTTAAACACCTCAGTGTCACTGCTGGACTGAGAATAGTCCACCAACCAAAAATATCCAGCCAACAGCGTCCTGTGGGCAGCGTCCTGTGACCACTGATGAGGGAGTAGAGGATGACCAGCACAAACTGTGCAGCAGCAGATGAGCTATCGTCTCTGACTACCGACAAGGTAGGAGTGTCTAATAGAGTGGACAGTGAGTGGACACAGTGTTTAAAAACTCCAGCAGCACTGCTGTGTCTGATCCACTCGTACCAGCACAACACACACTAACACACCACCACCACGTCAGTGTTACTGCAGTGCTGAGAATGATCCACCACCCAAATAGTACCTGCTCTGTGAGGGTCCATGGGGGTCCTGACCACTGAAGAACAGGGTAAAAGGGGGCTAACAAAGTATCAGAGAAACAGATGGACTACAGTCTCTAACTGTAGAACTACAAAGTGCACCTATATAGTAAGTGGAGCTGATAAAATGGACAATGAGCGTTATAATGTTACAACGATCAGGCATAACATTATAAGTGTTACTTCTATAGTGAAAGATGTTTTTAAGGTGCTGCTGAATCTGAACTGACCACAAATTCAGTATTACAGCATTTTAACAAACTTAACAAAGCATCTCTCTCTTTCTTTCTCTATCTGTCTTTCTCTGTCTCCCTCTTTCACAGTGTGGTAAAGCAGGGAGCTTCCTCTCTCCTAATGAGTTCTTGGTGAAAGATCCTGAGCAGGAGAAGAAATTTAACTTTAACCTGCAGGACTCTTTGAGAGCGGCCAGTCATCAACCCCTATTACAGGTACTTTTATTGCTTTAAACCTCCATTTCCAGGCAGTAGTGTTGTCTCGATCAGCCCGGACCTCACTTTTACCTCCCAATACTATGAAAATGTGTGCCTGGGAAGCCCTGAGGACCGGTTAGAGAACTTCTGGTCTAGATCCATCGCACCACCAAGATGGCATTAGCCCTTCCTTTTCGTGTATACATGTTAGGAACACCTGTACAGCTGCTTAGTCATGCATTTATTAGCGATACACCTAAATTTGGGCAACCAAAAAGTTGCTGCTGAAAATAGCACTTTCGGTTTTCATCCAAAGTTCAAACTGCGGTATCACAGTGGAAAATAAATAAATAAAGTATTTTTAAAAATCACTTATTATGTTGCATGATTTAGACCCTAGATATTTGTAAGGATTATGCTGTGATCTATTTAAACCCAAGACATTAATTAATATAGAATAATAAAAAATACTTTTTACTTTAAGCTTTTTTTTCTTCAATTTTTTAAAGATCTTTATTTCGTTTACAGTAAAGTGTAAAGATTTAGATTTATCATCAATTTCATTTAAAAAACAATCCTGTCCCATGTTTTTCATGCCACCACTGAAACACGAAACACAGAGGTTTAGTCTGTAGGTGGAGCCTTATTTTAGCCACACCCCTGTATTTCAGGGCAGGAAGTAAGACTGCATCCCTGTCCCTCATGGCCACATGGTGAGCAGTTAGATCCCATTGTTTTGAAGTAAATGTGTCCTAAACTCTTTAAGTCAGTGTGGAACTATGAGAATTGTCACTAGTGAAGCACATACTTTGTACAGTCAAGTAAATCTTTTGTGTTTTAATGAAAAATGTTATGATTTTATGTGTGCACAACTGTTCAAAGCTGCATTTGCTAGTGATAGGATTATTTTGGTGGTGACAGAATTGAATATTCAATCATTTATTTAAATAAAATAAACATAATTAAGGTACAGGGTCACTCAAAGCGAAATGATTTTAGTCTGAAGTCCAAGTCAGTTAAAAGTGCAAAATGTGTTTTGAACTCTGACTTTGAACCAGTTTGGTAGAATGATCCTTAAGGTTGTTTATGGACATTTATAATCGTAAAAAGTGAAATTAAAACATGCGACATGAAAGGACAGCTCGGATGATAAGTACTATTCTCACTATTGTTAATATTATTAATATTGCTTCTATTCCTATTATTATTTTCTCTGTATGTATTCTGATTGTCTCTCTAAATAAAGAAAAGATATAAAATAAAAATGTGAAATAGTGACGCCGTTCCTGTGCCCTTCACTCTCCTGCAACAGTCAGCGCAGATGTGTTCAAACAGTTAAAGCGGTAGTAGAGCAACAGTGTGGTGGGGGGGGAGTTGACCACATGGAACTATTTCCTGGTTTCTACAAAGGACATTAGACAAGCTAGTTGTAATCGCTGTTCATCCCAGGTATCTAGATATGCAGACTACAGTAAAACAGAAGCAGAAACGAAAGCCCACGCTAATATCGTGTCTAAACTCAGTTTAATTCGCTTTTCTGTCTTTGTCAAGGACCTTTGATTTCATGGCACATACTGTAATCATTTAAGTAAGTTTACTTTATGCAAACTGTTTTTATTTGATCAATAACAGTGAATTCGGGCTGCTCTGAGGTTTCAGTATTAAGTGTCTTTTCTCTACAGGGTTATGAGATCCATGTGACGCCCTCTGTGAAGCCTGAGCCAGTTCAGATGAAGGACATCATCACCTGCTGTGGTGCACGCTACCTTCCCAAGATGCCCACTGCTCACAAGGTGACAGCATACACAGTCTTCTTCACACTCTTAAATTCATCATGGAGCGTCCTAAAAACATGGCATTTGACCTGGTTGGTGATGCCACACATCGGCGGCAAACATCTGAGTGGCAATCTGCAAGTTCTGACTAATCGGAAACAAACGTTTTCTTGAAAATCTAGGTTTGACCAACGTTCCTCTCTTTTCTCTTTAAGGCTCAGGTGGTGGTGGTGTCCTGTGAAGAGGACAGAGCTCTGTGTAATAAGGCCCTGAGTTTGGGTGTCCCTGTGGTCAGTGCCGAGTTTCTGCTGACCGGCATACTGCAGCAGAAAGTGGACCTGAAGACGCATGCGCTCTCAACTTCTCCCTCTGCTGTTTCCAAACCTGCCACCCAGGGCCGCAGGAAGTAGCCTGGTGGCAGAAATGGTCAGCTCCTCTTGGACGCAGGATCTAATGCAATTTTTCTTAATCACGCTAAGTTGCTGTTAACTGTGAAGAGATAATCCTCTGGTCATTTTTTTAAGCTTCTCCTCAAATAAACATGAAAAAAAGAGAGGAGTATCGTTGCATTCTCAAAAACCTTGTGTGTAATTTAATTTCTTCGCCACTGTTAAAGGCAGAGCCAGACTGCGCCAGTCTTTTGTTGGTATATGTAGCCCTGTTTTAATGACCTGCCTCAGTGAAGCTCCTTTCTTCCACAAGGGGGCAGCACAATGTATTAAAATGGATGTCCGTGAGACCACCCGATACACATTTTCTTATCCGCTTATCCTTCCAGGTCGCAGGAGGAGCTGGAGCTTATCCCAGCAGTCATTGGGCGGAAGGCAGGAAACACCCTGGACAGGCCGCCAGTCCATCACAGGGCAGGCACACGGACATATACAATCACACACACACCTAGGGGTAATTTAGTGTGTCCAGTTGTCCTGACTGCATGTCTTTGGACTGTAGCAGGAAACCCACGCAGACACTGGGAGAACATGCAAATTCCACACTGAAAGGATTCCCCTGGTCGCCCGGTCGGGGAATCGAACCCAGGCCCTTCAGTGGTGAATGACTGGGTTTCATTAGCAAGGCATGTCAGACAACTAGCTAGCTAGCTGTGTTTGGTGATGTGCTAACTATTTTCTGTGTTAACTGTGCTAAGCTGCTCTAGTTTGCTAGTCATGGGTCCATTTTTCCTTATTTTAGGTACATTAGCTACAAATAACACTGGTTATTGTACAAAAGCCACCCTAGAAATCGCAGATGTGAAACTAGCACAGTAGAGCTTACAGGACGCGACTGCTCACGCTGGATTCGGGTGTGATTTCTCCAAAATGTGTGAGTTTAACAGATTTTGAACAAGTTTTAACAGACTTTATCCTGAATTTACATCTGATTTTGTTTTTTTCCTTACTTTATTCTTCCTCTATGCTTTCATTAATTGAAAACTATTTTAATAATTTTTAAGCTGTGCCTGCTGGAGTCTCATCTGTTTTGTGGACGGATTTAAGGCCGATGCTATGAGGAAATTGATGTATATGTTTAATATGTTGTTTGTTATGTGGTCTCTGTGTAAAGGGCTTTAGGATTAACCTTTTCAACTCCTTGAGACCACCGGTGGTTCCAAAACGGATTTAGTCATGTCCTTCATAACTTTCATATTTCATAAGCTACATTCAAAAGGTGGGGGTCGTATGAGAGCTGTAACTGTCTTCTTTCCAGTCAAATAGATGGGTGATGTAATTTTAAACTCTTATAATAAAAGAAGCTGAACTCACAATTTTGTTTGTCTACTGAAAGTCGACCCATTTTTCCACAAATCTGGGCTATAAACTATAAACAGATGGCGTCTCTTCAGTGATCTGCTCTGTAAACATTATTGTATAAAATAATACAAAGAGCGTCTAAGATTTTTGGCTTTCCGCAGTAAATTGTAAGAATATAGGAATATGTGTATGATCATAAAACATATTCTGTTAATTTGAAAGGAACTTAGTAAATAAAATAAAAACTGACATTTATTTCATGCAGTTACTGAATAATTTGCCATGATTTGGTCATGTAAAGTCAGATGGACAAACCAAAGTATACCCTGGTTAATGCAGGGGGACGACTAATATCTTAAGAGAACAGTGTATTATGGACAGTTTATCCAGGCTAAAGAAAAACAGGATGAGCACAAAGCTTGACTAGGTGGCTCAGGTTGGGTTTAGTTTGAATAAAATTTGTCGGGTCCGACTCAAATCTGGGTTTGGACAGAAAGCTATTGGGCTGTGCTGTTTATTAAACACCAGGGCAGAAAGGCACATGAAAAGAACCAAACTCACGGTGGAGGTCACCACCAGCAACTGGATTCACCCTGATAGTAGACCCACCCCTTAACACAAAACGCACAACAACTCACATCCCCCAACACAGAGTAACACAAATAACACATATACATACCTTCAAACTAAAAAAACAGCGACATTAACAACAACAGTAAGTCCCTTTCTCAGAGGTGCGTGGCTTCCATGATCCTCCTGGCGTGGTCATCAGCATGGTCACACCTCACGAGTATGTCATAATAATAACTCAGGCTGTATTCAAGTGTCAGAAACCAGGAAATATCAGTTTTCCAACTAAATTGCACTCGAATGGCCGACTGTTATGTTTACAACTTGTGATTCTAGATCGGGGTGTCAAACTCAACCAGTGAAAGGGCCATATTAAAAATCTCATCAAATCTGCGGGCCAGAAGAAAACATTTTTTTATTTAATTTTTTATGAATGTTGTGCCATGACCCCAACTGGCCACTGCTTATTCACAATATGCTACAACTTCAACAGCAAGACACAGACACTTTTAGTAGACCTTGAAATATTAAATGAACACTTGAAATATTCAAAATGTAAATGTCCCCAGGAGCTCAGTCTTTTAAACCTGCCTATTTGCTTGGAATAGACATCTGGTATCCTTTCTTTGCTGCAAGTTCATTAAGACTCGGGCTCAGTTTCTGAGCTGCTGTTAAGTGTTTTATGGGTTGAACTGCATCTGAAATACATTTTGGTGATATGACTGGTGTGGAATTGTGTAGAATTGTGTAGAACTGAGGTGTAACCGCTGTCCCATAGATTGTTGTTGGAGTAGGAGAATCGGAGCACATTACGTTGCAGTGCATGCTGGGAACTGTAGTGCAGCGCTTTGTGAAATGGACAAATATTAATAGAACATTCAAATACTTCTGCGGGCCGGATCTGGCCCACGGGCCTTATGTTTGACACAGGGGTTCCTGATGGTACACAAGTTACGAGATGTAAAATATAACGAGACCTTCAACTTTTTGCATGAGTAAAAAATGCTGAACTTGTAGTGAACATAAAAAATACATTCCTGATTCTATTAGATCTAATTGCTTTTTATTAATGTAAAGAAAAAGCAGGATTATATTCTCCCGACCTCCATGCTTTCTTTTTTCTGCGTAGTATGCGTACCTTTGAACAAGCATCCGAAGATATATTTACTAGATAACCCTCTGGTATATTCAACCCTCTGATGAGCACCCAGCAGCACTGCAGTGTCTGATCCACTCGTACCAGCACAACACACACTAACACACCACTACCACGTCAGTGTTACTGCAGTGCTGAGAATGATCCACCACACAAATAGTATCTGCTCTGTGAAGGTCCATGGGGGTCCTGACCACTGAAGAACAGGGTAAAAGGGGGCTAACAAAGCATGCAGAGAAACAGATGGACTACAGTCTGTAACTGTAGAACTACAAAGTGCTCCTATATAGTAAGTGGAGCTGATAAAATGGACAATGAGCGTAGAAACAAGTCATAATGTTATGCCTGATCTGTGTATAGTCATAATAATGAGATTATTAGTCATCATTATGAGATGAATGACTCCAGTGTTTGAATTATAGAGAAATTTTGAAAACTGGGTTGGGTTCCCCTTTGAGCACTGTATTTATGTGCTTATTTCCAATGAGTTGGTCTCTATTATGTTACTGAACAGTGCAGTGAGTGTGATGTGAGTGTGATGTGAGGCGGCCGAGGCTCCGGGCTTTGCCGACCTCAGTCGAGCCTCTCCGAGAGCTGCAGACGACGCATCCTGAACGTCTTCCAAATGTGCAGCCTCAGTCCTGAAGCGGGTTTCTCGGGAGGCGAGGTCGACAAGGAGGTGGAGACGAAGGCGAGGACGGAAAACGCTCGGACGGAAGAATCTGCACACCTCGGCCAGCTCATTCGGCTCCTCTTCGTTAATGCACGGCCCCGCGCTGCGGTCACGGTAAGAAAAAGCGCTCGTGCGCGTTCGGAGCCGGGTTAGACGGGATAGGCTGGGTCTTTTCTCCGTGCAGGACGCGAGGGGTTAAATTCTGCAGGTTTTTCCGGGGCCGTCTGGTAATTTTCCAGCACATCCAGGCGGAATATGAAAGCCACAGGGGGTGTCGGTTTGGTTTAGGGAGCTGATTGCGCGCGCCGAGTGTTTTGTCTGGTCAGATTTGATGTTTTGACTCGATTTGAGCAGAAGGAGAAGCGCGCGCCGGCACTTCATGATGCATATGCAGCACATCAAATGCGCAGTCAGCATGCAGGGCGCGAAAAAGGCACCAGCACTTCACTGTGTCTCACAGAGCGGCTAAAAACCTTTAAACCCCAATCTTATTAACTACACTCTTAAAAACACGGTTCTGTTTAGAACCATGAATTCCATCTAGAACCATTTGCATGCTTCAGTGGTTCTTTGCACGATGACATGGTTCTTCAGATTGGAGTGTGTTGTATTTGGCTTTATATGGAAGCTTTTTGAAAATGGTTCTACATAGCACCAAAAAGGGTTCTGCTATTGTTACGATGTCGAGCTAGTAACAATAGAAGAACCCTTTTGGGTGATACACTCTTAAAAAAAGTTGGCTCTTCAAGGGTTCTTTAGTAAAGGCAATGGTTCTGTAATAAAAACAATGGGTTCTATATAGAACCATTTGCATGGTGACATGGTTCTTCAGATTGATGGAGAATGTGTTGTGTATGGTTTTATATAGAAGCTTTTTGAAAATGGTTCTACATAGCACCAAAAAGGGTCCTGCTATGGTTATGATGTCGAGCTAGTAACAATAGAAGAACCCTTTTTGGTGCTACATTCTTAAAAACTTGGTTCTTTAAGGGTTCTTTAGTAAAGGCAAAGGTTCTGTTTAGAACCATGAGTTCTATATAGAATCATTTGCATGCTTAAATGGTTCTTTGCATGGTGACATGGTTCTTCAGATTGATAGAGAATGTGTTGTATATGGTTTTGTATAGAAGTGTTTTGAAAACGGTTCTACATAGCACCAAGAAGCGTTCTGCTATTGTTACAATGTTGAGCTAGTAACAATAGAAGAACCCTTTTTGATGCTACACTCTTAAAAAAGTTGGCTCTTCAAGGGTTCTTTAGTTAAGGCAATGGTTCTGTTTAAAACCACGAGTTCCATATAGAACCATTTGCATGGTGACATTGTTCTTCAGATTGATGGAGAATGTGTTGTATATGGTTTTGAAAATGGATCTATATAGCACCAAAAAGGGTTCTAGCCTTGTAACAACAGCAGAACCCTTTTAGTGCTATATAGAACCATTTTCAAAAAGGTTCTGTATAAAACCATATACAATACATTCTCCATCCATCTGAAGAACCATTTCACCATGCAAAGAACCAAAAAGAGTGCAAAAAATGTCCATGGTTCTATACAGGACCACTGACTGCTAAAGAACCCTCGAAGAACCATCTTTTTTGAGAGTATTAGTATTAGCATGAAGGTCTGTTTCATTTTCAACAGCCGATGCTGTGTCACATACCGGCCAAGCGTTTAACCCTTTCAGAGCCAAATTAGAATAGAGAACCTTTTTGAAAATGGTTCTACATAGCACCAAATAGGGCTCTGCTATTGTCACAATGTCAAGCTAGTAAGTATAGAAGAACCCTTTTTGGTGCTACATTCTTAAAAAAAGTTGGTTCTTTAAGGGTTCTTTAGTAAAGGCAATGTTTGTGCAAAACCATGAGTTCTAAATAGAACCATTTCATGCTTAAATGGTTCTTTGCATGATAAATTGGTTCTTCAGATGGATGGAGAATGTGTCATGGTTCTATGCAGCACCCAAAAGCGTTCTTCTATTGTTATCATGTCAAGCTTGTAACAATAGAAGAACCCCTTTTGGTGCTATATAGAACCATTTTCAAAAAGGTTCTATATAGAACCTTATGCAACACATTCTCCATCATTCTGAAGAGCGTTTTCGCCATGCAAAGAACCAAATGGTTCTTTGAGTGTTAATGGCTCTATATAGAACCCTTGCAGAGCCATCTTTTTTAAGAGTGTATCTAGAACCATTTTCAAAGAGGTTTTATATAGAACCACATACAACACATTCTCCATCAATCTGAAGAGACATTGCACCATGCAGAAAACCATTTAAGCAGGAATTATTTCTATATAGAACTCATGGTTCTAAATAGAATCATTGCTTTCACTGAAGAACCTTTGAAGAACCATCTTTTTTAAGTGTGCAGCTTATGTGTTGACACTAATTATGTACCACTTTTTTAGCGCTTGTGCCGTTTTTTCTCGCGGCGTGGGCGATTCCTCATCGCGTCACTATGAGAAATATGTAGGGATGGCAAATATTTCTCTGAGGGGGAGGATTTGTTCTTGTTCTGGAGGGAGAGAATCAGAGAGGGTGGCAGACTGAGAGCTCGCGGGTAAGTCACACGCGCAGCCCGACCGCCCGTGCATATCAATGGCCTCAGTGGAAAGGCATAGCACAGGAGGGCTGTGCACAAGCGCATCGGCTCGTGCAATTTCAGGACACGTTCCACACCCAGTTTGGCTCAGCAGCACGTCTACCTGGTTTCTGATGACGTCAGGGAGTCAAAATAAGAAACACAAGGCTGTTATTACAACCTTTAGAGCTGCACAGTATATCGTTTGTTGATCGTTATCGCGATGTTTGCCTTCGCTATGCTGATATCGCAGAAGTGGCAATATGCAAATGAGGCCTCTGACAAACTGGTGTTTTTATTGGGGCGGACCGATATGGGAATTGCATGGAAGCCCGTTTCCACCACTTGGAAAAAAAGGCCATACAGTATAATAATGACTTAGTGTATAATAATAATTAGAGAATGAGAGAATCTCATAATTATGGTTAATAATTTCATAATTATAATTTACTATCTCATAATAATGACATTCACAAACTCACAATTACTACTTGCTATCTCATAATTGAGTTAATATCTCATAATTATGACTTAGTGGAATCCATCCATGAAACAGACTAGCTGGCTACAATAAGCATTTGCCATCAGCATCAGTGAGTAATTTGGCTCGGAACATCACCTAAAATCCAGATATTATCTGCTTTTTGACCTTCATATTCCAACAAAGGGTTAAAGCAGCAAAAGCGACATGGTTCACACATCAGATCACTCATCAGACTCTGCCCTCACCATCCAGAGTGATTTCATCCACCTGTCCATCAGCCAGCAATCCAGCTCCAAAATCACCCAAAACCCACTCGATACTGTTACATTACAGCTTTTAGCCTTCATATTACAAAAAAGGGCTTTCAGTTTATATTGGTTTTGAGTATTAATAATATCTGATATTAAACATGCAACTCAATTTGTAATTAAAAATGAAGCCTGTTTTGCTGTCTATCAGAGTTTTAGCACTGAGCGTGAATCCAAGAGGACAGAAAATCAATAAAAAAACATGTCCGCTTTATGCTAATTAATATGCTATTTTTACTCATAATAACCAATGGAATGAATCACCATCAAAATTATTGCACTTTCAGCTCACAAACACTCCAGACCAACAATTTCTGAAAAGATAACTACAACTGCACTTGTTTTCAAGATTTCTTTAATTAAAATAATACAAAATTTAGCAGGCACTAGTTAAATCTTTGATCAGAAATGACCCAAATTCATAAAGATATCAAATTTCTGTGAGCATTTACATGTTAAACAATGGCATATCTGAGCAGCCCAGGGTCTCCTAAACATGTGGCATGTGTAACTGTCACATGTAAATACTTTATAATTGTAGGTTTCTAAGGGTTAAGTATGAAGTAACTGTGCATTAACATTTGCGGAAAAAAATATTTTTTTTAAAACAGTTTGCTTCAGAGATTGTGTTTACTTTCCCAAACGTGTGCGCACAACTGTATCAGTCTTAAAAAGCATAATAACAAAAACAGTCTGTTTATTTCTAAGGGATAAAGAGAGGTTGGAAAATTGTCATGTAAAAATTAAGTATGTGCATAAAACCACCAAAATATATTAATGGACCTTAATGAACTGCCCATATGGGCCTTTTAATGGTGGTTAAATTCAGAGTGCACCACAGGGCGTGCTACTCGATGCCCTTATTTCTTTAGAGATGACCCAGGCCTACTATGACACCAATGGAATAGGAAAAATATTCCTCTGATTGTTCAAAATTTCTGCATAAGTAAAACATGAAGATGTGAACGAAGTGTTTTGGTGTGAAATTCTTTGCTCTAGATAGAGTCAGAATTGTTCGCAGTGGTGGTGATAGGAACCAGACGTCTGAAGCGTTCAGGGTCACCAAGGCTCAAACCTGCATCTAACACGCTGCCCTCCCCTTACCTATCGCCAATGCATCTGATCCAACCATTCAAGAACTTGAAGCAGTAGCAGGAGCAGGTGTGGCAGATAGTGATTGGAACTGGATTCCAGGATAGATCCAGGAAGGTAGATCTCCAGGACCAGGGTTAAGGTCCACTGCTCCAAAGGCTCTTTCACAGAAATGTATTGCCTGAAACGTTGTTTTGTTATGTACATTCATGGTGGTGAAGTACATGCGGGGTGTTGTAAGGCAAAGTAGTCCCACAGTGAAGTAGTTCACTGGTCATTTTAGTAATACTAAATAAAATGGCTATATTTGTGTTGTAGTCATGGTGACCCCTGGTTCCTATCACCACCACTGTAAAGAAATCTGAGTCTGTAAGCTTCTCTACAGTGAACCATTTCACATCAAACCACTGAATTGCATCTCAAGCACCGAATTTTGCAGAAATTTTGAAAAATCGGGGGTCTTCCTCATGCACTTCCCTCCGCCCACCACCAGCCATTGAGACGTTCTGCCTGTGGTTCTGCTGTGTGCTCCTCGGAGAGAAGGACTATGTGATGACGCAGTAAATGTGGCCTGTTTGTTTTGCTCGTGTGATGCCAAAATGGCCTGCTGCTCTCTCCGTCTGTGCTCAGGCCTGGCTGCTGGTTCA